AATCAGCATTTTTGAGCAAATCTTTTGATTTATCAATTTAACATCTTCATGAGATATTAGTGGATGAATCAGCATTTTTGAGCAAATCATTTTATTTATGGATTCAACATTTTCATGCATTATTAGTGGATGAATTAGCATCAGTGTTGCCAGATTGGGCGGTTTTGAATTTGATTGTGTTGGTAAAAAACTACATAGGTGGGTAGTGAAAATTTGTGGTGGTTTGCAAGGCCCTCCCAGTCCAGACCCCCCTGGTCTTTACTTATAAACCGGTTATGATCTCACAAAGAGATGCCATCCCTGCCACACCCCCGGTCCTCAGCTTTTGAACCACTTATGACTTATGATAGCCTTCAGGTGACTGGGTGGTTGTTTTTGCATTTCGACGGGCTTTGGATGGTTTTTCTGGCTGAAATCAGTCAGCTACATCTGGCAACACTGATCAGCATTTTTGAGCAAATCTTTTGACTTATTGATTTAACATCGTCATCGTCATACATTATTAGTGGATAAATCAGCTTTCTTAAGCAAATCAATAAGTTTTTGGTTTAATATTTTCATGCATTATTAATGGATGAATCAGCATTTTTGAGCAAGTCATTTTATTTATTGATTCAACATCTTTGCATTATTAATGGTTGATTCAGCATTTTTGAGCAAATCATTTTATTTATTGGTTTAACATTTTCATGCATTATTAATGGATGAATCAGCATTTTTGAGCAAATCATTTTATTTATTGATTCAACATCTTTATGCGTTATTAATGGTTGAATCAGCATTTTTGAGCAAATCATTTTATTTATTGGTTTAACATTTTCATGCATTATTAATGGATGAATCAGCATTTTTGAGCAAGTCATTTTATTTATTGATTCAACATCTTTGCATTATTAATGGTTGATTCAGCATTTTTGAGCAAATCATTTTATTTATTGGTTTAACATTTTCATGCATTATTAATGGATGAATCAGCATTTTTGAGAAAATCATTTCATTTATTGATTCAACATCCTTATGCGTTATTAATGGTTGAATCAGCATTTTTGAATGCATCTCTTGAATGAGTGTTTCAACAACAAAATTCATTTTTAATAGGCATCAAGATATTTTTAGATTAGTAATCGATGAACTCCTATTTATATCAGTTTAATCTGTTTACATCTGCATTACGTTGTTACAATTTAAATGTTTGTAATGCAAAGATAACGTTAATAAAGTAATGATTACTCGTATCATAATGCATCTAGTTCAAACGCAGATCTGAATATATTCTCTGTTTTCATGTTTATAAAAAGTTTTAACAAACACAGCCGAATTGGTGCCATTTAGGAACAAGATTTTTGTGGGTGTTAGAATCAAGATTGCAGCTCAAGCTGGAACCCTGGAAGTGTGTGTGGGCTTAGATTTGAGTGCTCTGTTATTTGGGATTTAGTCTAGTTTGTTTGCTGATATACTGTCAGTGAATTTTTCAGCATCTACAAAGGATTCATTTGTTGTACTCTGAAACTCTTTCATATACCCACATGCCTCCTTTATGTCTCAGGCAAATACTGTAAAAGTCTTATTTCTGACAGCTGTACTCTTGCTGATTCAGTGTCCAGAGTTGATACTGAAGACTAAAGCTACCCAGCTACTTGTAATAACCGATAACTTCTGTCTTTAAGCACCAGATCTTAACCATCAGGATACTGCATTGAATGTTTATACAGACTCAGTCTTTTTGTGGTGTCGCTTAGTTGTACCTGCTTGTCTGTTCAGCAGGGGGCAGTGTTGTTCTGCTCATTCTGTTGTGGCTGGGGATTTATTTACAGTACCTTGGTCTACAGTCGTTATTCTTCTTAATAGAGGCAAAATAGTGTACAATAGAGCTTCTGGAATAGCAGTCGATATACACTAGCTTTCAAAAGCTTGGGCTCAGTGAAATCTTTTTGTAAAGAAATGGATTGATGCATTAAATAGTTTGAAAGTCACAGTAGAGGCGTTTATTATGACATACAAGGATTTTCATTAGAATGCAGGTACAAATGCTGTATTGTTGACTTATAAGCACATTTATAATGTGCTTAATGATTGTATTTTCATACTTTGTTATTGATTATTTTATCATAACTAAATTAAGTATTGCATTATTTACAAACTAATTATTTAAGAATAGGCGCTATTTTAAGGTCATTCAGAATGCATAAGTAAATGCTTAATACTATTCAAATTAACATTTATATTTCTTTTTATTCAGGCATATGTATGAAGTTACGTTGTATATTAATAATTGCTTTATTAAGTCAACCTCATCTAATTTTGTGACCCAATATAAAGTGAGGACTATTTATGCTTTATAAATCCCCAATAAATGATAAATAAAGTCTTTGCTACATTTCAAACAGGAAAAATATAAAATAAAGGACTTTATTTATTTCTATTCATTTCAAGATACACAAATGAAACCGTATCAAATGACAAATAAATCTTTGCAATGTTAACTAAAATAAATTACTGTACAGTTTAAACTTCACTAAATAACATTGAAATGTTGCATCATAATATAGTATTAACTTAACATATTATAACTTAACAGTATTAACATAACTAATGTATTGTTTTATACAATTAATTGAATTGCATCTATTTCTAATTATGTTTGAACACTCCTGTTCAAACATTTTCAATTTGGCAATGTTTAAAGTTTAGAGTAATTTATTATCTATCTGTTTTTATATAAGATTGCAAACATTTATTGTTCATTTTTAAAGGAATTAATAAAGCATAAGTAGTCCTCACTTTAGATTGGGTCACAAAACTGTGTGAAGTTAAATTAATAAAGCATTTATTAACATACAAATTAACTATAAATGTATGCCTGAACAATAAGATATACAAATGAGAATTTGAATAGTTTATTAATCGTTTACTAGCTCATTCTGAATGATTCAAAAATGATTCTAACATCAAAAATGTGCTTATATAAGTCAAGAAAACAGTCAGCGTAGCTGTATTTATAAATTGTTAACGTCTGTTAATGCAGAGTTATTACTTAAGAGTTAATAAATTAACTATTTGCAAATGCTTAATAGGTGATTCATATTGTGTAGTTATTATAAAGTGGTAGCAGATTTTCTTAACTAATGCTAACCAAGTTTATGTGATAGTTTAACTACCATAATACTTAAAGCCTTAGTAAAAAAGTGACTGAATAATAGGCAAGCTTTTTTTTTTTTTTTTTTTACAAGTTAAAATAAAGAAAAACAAGATTGATTTTAGTCTATTAGTAGCCTTGAAATATTACATGTTCTGCTCTCTAGACATCATCTCTCAGAAGTGTTAACAAATGCAAAGGCATGTATCGGTCGATTACTAATTGGCAACTAATTCTTCTGGAAATGCATGGAAGAGTCAATAATATGTGTGCTAACGAGTGCCTTCTTGTTGTGTACAGTACTGAAGACTTGTCTGTCATGTTCTAACCTCTTCTTCTCTACTTGCATGCTGCATGCCGTTACAAAGCAGAAGCTGATGAAGGTAAAGAAAATGAATGTTATATATCAGCACAACAAGCAAACACCTCATTTGTGTACGTGTGTGTGTGGTTTTATGTTGTTATCATAGTTGCCAGACATTTCCATTTGCATTCCTATTGTCTTCTTTTTCTCTCTTCTTTCATTTCTCTGCTGGGCTCCTTTTTCTTTCAGAGGTTTCTAACCATGTCTCAGTCTTGAAGCTTAGATAAAACTTTAGTTGAAATATGTGGGGAGCATCGTAACTTTGTTGTCTTTTAAAGCTGGAGCTCTCTGATGTTTCTCCATGTTGTAGACTTTTCATTTCTGCAGTGCTTTTCTGTTGTTAAGACGCAAACGCAAATAAAAAAGCCTGTTCGCTCTCAGTTCTTGTTTATTTTTGGCGTTCATCTATTGCACCAGAGGCTTGCATTGTTTTCTTTCTCTTCTCTCTCTCTCTCTCTCTCTCTTTCTCTCTCTCTCTTCACTTCAGTGTCACTCTTGTCATTTCTGACTCTGTGGTTTTGCTCTTCGAGGTCAGTCGGAGCAATATCTGCTGGAAACATTGGAAAAGGATTTAAAAAGCTGACATTTTCTGTGATTTCTAAACATTAAAACTCTGACAACATCAGACCCATTCTGACAGTTTTGAAGCTGAGTTATATACAGTATGTGCTTCTCTGCAGTGGTTGTCAAAATACCTCTCAGAAGTTTGGGATTGGTAATGTTTTCATGTTTTAGAAAGAAGTCTTTTCTGCTTTCCAAAGATAAATTTTTTATCGAAAATACAATATAAGCAGTAACTTTGCTAAATGTTTTTGTGCATATATGTTAAAATGCGGTTCATTGCTCTGATTCAAAGCTGAGATGTAATTTGTCTAGTCTTCAATGTCACATGGTTTTTCAGAAGTCTTTTTAGGCTTAAACTATTTTTAGTCCATGTTTTTGTCTAAGCTAGGATGCATTTTGCTTTCAGAATAATTCAGTAAATACAATTTTTAAAGTTGCATTTATTTGAATAAAAATAAATAAATTGAGGGGCGAGGCAGTGGCGCAGTAGGTAGTGCTGTCGCCTCATAGCAAGAAGGTTGCTGAGTCACTGGTTCGAACCTCGGCTCAGTTGGCGTTTCTGTGTGGAGTTTGCATGTTCTCCCTGCCTTCGCATGAGTTTCCTACGGGTGCTCCGGTTTCCCCCACAGTCCAAAGACATGCGGTACAGGTGAATTGGGTAGGCTGAATTGTCCGTAGTGTATGAGTGTGTGTGTGGATGAGTGTGTGGATGTTTCCCAGAGATGGGTTGTGGCTGGAAGGGCATCCGCTGCGTAAAAAACTTGCTGTATAAGTATAAGTTGGTGGTTCATTCCGCTGTGGCGACCCCAGATTATAAAGGGACTAAGCCGACAACAAAATGAAATGAATAAAATGAATAAATAATAAAAGCTGATGGTCATTTGGAAGGGTGATATATCACAACCTCCAAAAAATATATAAAAAATATATAACCACAAAAATATGAAGCAGCACAACTGTTTTCTATATGGATAATAATTAGAATTGCGTTTTGAGAATCAAATCATCAATTGCAATGATTTAGACAGAATCATACACTGAAGACTGGAATAATAAAAATGAAAATTCAACTTTAAGTCACAGAAATGCATTTTAAGAAATATTCCTATAGATAAGGTATAATAGTTTTAAATAGTATTTCACAATTTAAGAGTTTTAATTGCCCTTGTAAAGCAGAAGAGACAAAAACACGGAACATTTTACTGATCCTGATCCCAGACATTTGAACGGTTGTTTATGCTGAATATGAACAATATGGAGCCAATTTATACATTTTGTTATACAAAAATTGTAACATTTAAATAAATTATTAAATTAATATTAGTTCAAAATAAATATGATACTTAAGCAAATTATTAATATATTAATACTAAATATACAATTATTTAATAAATTATTTATTTTGTTATTTAATTAATGAGAAATGTAAAATTGTGAAAAAATAATCATATATTTATTGATATCATAAGCTTAAAAAATTATTAGATATACTTAAATACTTAAAAGATATTTTGAAACTTATCTCTGTTACAAGTAAATTAATTATTTAATCTAGTCTTGAATGTATTTTCTTTTACCTTCAATAAATTTGTTCATGTTTTTGGAGGATGAGGACATGTCACACAGTCTGTCCATGGCATCTGCTTAATTTGGCAACTCTTTACCAAGTAACAGATGGATTTGCATGGAAATACCACAGAGATGGACTGGATGACAAACTTGAATAACAAAAAAAGAAAGAAAATTGGACAAGATTCTCCTTCCTTTTAAAGCCGATGTTTTAAAGAAGCATAATCACTGAGTTAGTTTTACTTTTATTATTATTATTATTATTATTTTATTTTGACAAAAAGAAAACAGCAAGCATAACATAAATTCCCTGACACATAGCAAAATTGCACATACAGTAATATACACATGCCAATAGCCATAGAGGATTGTTCTATAAGCATCACAATACGGCAATACGTTAGTTTTATTGTTGACAAAAAAAAAAAACAAAAAAAAAACTGTAGCCTAGATTTCATTCAAACTAAAAATCCCTGCTTTTTTTCCTATTCCAAACCATTTCCTAGTGTTCTCAAAAGTGTATAATTATTATTAACAGCTATAGTGAAAATATGGAAATACCTATTTGATATATCAGCAGAATTGTGAAAGACTTTTCTCAGATACTAAAAGAGCCCCAGAGTCATCAGTTCTGCTTCAGTCAATATGATGCTCACTCTGTCATCTCTGCATCTCCCAGCGGGCCGGAAGCAGTTTGCACGTCATGAATGGGCCCAGAAGGCTGCTTACCTGTTGGGTTGCACCCTGGAAGAGCTCTCATCTGCCATCTTCAAACACCAGCCCAAAGGAACATTACAGAGATCCACCTCATTCCGCCAGGGACCAGACGATGCTGGCACAGGAGACAATTCAGGTCAGGTCTTTATCTAATACAAAGGAATTGTGATCGCTGGCTTTGCCAGTGATAAGATTGAGATATAATGTAAAAGTTTTGTCTTGCAGGTCCAAAAATTACAGCTTTGGAGTGTCTGGAGGCCATGGCTGCTGGGCTTTACTCTGAGCTATTTACTTTGGTCATCTCACTTGTTAACAGGTAAGGATTCTTTTATTTTCATGTGTGTCAACAGGGTGATTTGTTTGCCCTTCCAGTGGCTTATTGAGTTACTGGGAAACCAGTTTGATTATAGCCATATTAAAAGATGACTTGAACTTTAACTAATTTAAAAATATGTTTTAAACATTAGTGTTAAATGCCTAAAAATGTCTTTAAATGCCTTTGTCCTCTTTCTCTGAATGTGCCATTTAATATTTATAGTTGTTTTAAAAAGTTGCATTTTAATTCTAAAACGATACTGTAAATAATAATAATAAAAAGGTTTGTGCCTTTTTTGTATTGTGCTATAATATAAATGTTTAATTTAGTGTTAAACAAAGCAAGGTTGAACAAATGAAAAAAAAAACTTTTTATTATGAATCAATTACTTTTAATAATTTTAACTATGTAATGATTTTCTATTCTTTATAGAGTGACAATAAAATTACTTTTGGAGGGGGGTTAGCCGTCAGACCTTTAGTCAAAAAAAGTAGCAAAACGTGGCAAAATTTTAAAGCTAAATAATAAAAATAAAACATAAACTAAAAAGAATTGTCCACATTGATTTTCTGATATTGTGATTTTAGGGTTTTTTACACCTGTAGACCGATTGTTTTGTTCTGAAACGGGGAATAAAAGGGTTACAATGTTGCTATTTGCCCTTGGTGCGGTTCGCTTTTACACTGCAACGTTTCCAAACGAATCAAAATTGCTAAAACAAGTCGCGTGTGAGTAAAATCTCACATTAGTCAGAGTTTCATGGTTTATTGTTCAGAGTCTCGCTCAGCTGTCATTCGTCCTTATTTTAATTTATGGCATTATAAGCGAAAAGCTGCGCTTTCATTTTGAATGGTAACACCCACACACATCATCACCAAATATAAATCAGAGGTAAGACTTTCTCATACATAGCTGTTGGCTAGAACTATGCATTATAGGGTTTCCATTATAGAGAGAAATAACAGATAAACTAAGACTGCAGTTCAGTCAAATTTCCTAACAGATAAACAGCTCTTGTTATTGGTCAGCATGGTTTCAATTTTATATCTGACATGAACACGCGTTTACCAGTAGGAATGATGACATTTTGCCCTAATTGTCATTCTCTCTTCTTATAACCATATATGCCTATTACAGATCCATAATACACTGTGATATAGCCTGGTTTATTAGTTCATTGGATCACATTGCTTTCTCACTACAAACGATCCGCTTCCGAGTTTGTTTCAATCAAGCCGAGACTACCTCATTCAGGCCATCTCGGATTGATTGTTTTGGCGTGGATCTGAGCATGATTGCTGGATTCACATATGCCAAACAATCCGCGCTAACAGGGGAAACGCGCCAGGTTCCGCAACAAAAGTCTAGGTGTGAAAGCACATTTAATCTTGTATTTTGAAAATACAGACATTTGTTTAAAAAAAAGGGAAAATAAAAAGGGAAAAATAAAAAAGACATAGATTTTAAACTGTTTACCGCTGTTTTTAATAATTTTATAAATAATTTGTAAAAAATATTTGGTAGCACTAGTGGTGCACACTATTTTAGGATATTATGCCAAAAACAATAGAAAAAAGACTGTAAAGAGTAGTAATGGGAATAGGCTTTTTAATGGCTATTTGTGCAAGAGAAGTGTATTTTTTAGGCACTCTAACCTACATTAAATATGTATCTGTTGTTTGTTTGTTTGTGCTGGTATAGAGCACTAAAGTCGAGTCAGCATTCCCTGTGCTCTCTGCTTATTGTGGACACACCGGGATTCCAGAACCCAAAGTTAGCCAAGCGAGAGCGTGGTGCCACCTTCGAGGAGCTCTGCCACAACTATGCACAGGAGCGTCTCCAAACACTTTTCCACGAACGCACCTTTGTACAGGAGCTGGAGCGCTACAAGGAGGTGCAGCAATCCATCGCATCATACCACACAGTTCCTGTCTGAAGCTCAGTTCATTTAAACTGTGTTTAGAAAGAGTTAAATCACTGCTGATTTTGTTACAACCTTGATTTTCTATTGCAGTTTTAACATGTTTCTTTTTTCTAAGCTGTTGTAATCAGATTTGCTTACCTTATTACAAGAATCAATACTCATGTTAAGTGCATGAGCCAGTCACAGAAGATGCTGTAAGCGAAATGTTCTGGAACTCCCAACAGACTTATTGGCATGAGATGAAAGTTTAATACTAAAAATACATATTTTACTCTTATTTTACTACTTTTTTTTTTTTTTTTTTTTTTTTTTAATAAGTGCGTGGCACAGGTCTTACATGCTCTGAAATAAAGGTAATGCGAGCTGTCACTGGGGTGGTACCATTTCAAAGGTACACATTAGTACTTAAAGAGTTTATATTGGAACCTCAAAAATAAATACTAGTACCTTACATTTTTAAGAGAAAGACCTTTGTACTTTTTAGATACTAAGGGTGCTTTCACATCTGTAGATCGCTTCATTTGGTTCGGACCAAGGGTAATAAATGATACACTGTTGCATTTTCTGCCGTCTTTGGGTCGTTTTCACACCACACTGCTGGCTTTGGTCCGAACCAGTTGAAACTAACCAAAATGCAGTCATCTGACAAAATCCACATCTCTCATTGGCCAGATGTTGTTGAACATATTTCCTAAACTTCTTGTTGATTGGTCAGAATTCACGTGCGGGAAAATGCCAGTGAACTCCCGCAGGTAAACAAAACCTTTTACTCTGGAGGGACGACTGCGCTGGCTGATTGTATCCCTGCTTTAGACAAACTATACATTACGAAAATGAAGCGCGGCTGTGGCTGGAAAACAAGTGTTTAATGCATCGCTCGTCACTTCAGGAGGAGGCGTGAATTAATTTAGTTAAACTGCGACATGGTCATCATGCGTAAATATTACCAACGATCCATCAGGTAATGTTTTCCCCCCTCTCTCTGTTGGTAAAGCGCTGTCAACAAATATTTTTTCTCCATATCCCATAATGCACAGCGCATCGGCTTACGGCAGCTGAATTAGTCCAAAACGAGCAGTACTTTTTGCGGTTGGACCTGTTTTAGTACGGATCATATTCTCACCACAAACGAACCGCTCCAGGGTTCGTTTGAAAGCGTACCGATACCACCTCTTCAAGCAGGTCTCGGTATGCTTATTTGGTCCGCTTTTGGTGCGCACTCGAGTACGATTGCTGCATTTTCACCTGCCCAAACGAACCGTACCAAAAGGGGAAACGAACTCTAGTGCGATTCAATCAAACCAAATAAGGCAGGTGTGAAAGCACCCTAATATGCACTCTTCAGGTATTAATATTGACCATTTACTGTAGGTACAAATTTGTACCTTTTGAAAAGGTACCACCCCAGTGACAGCTTGCATACCTTTATTTCTGAGAGTGCACCATGAGCAAAGTATTTAAGGGGTCATCTTTTGGGGAGAATCTCTCTGGTGCTATATGCAGGACATTTTCCAGTTTTACAATAATCTAATCTATTTACATTTTGAAATTCTATTAGGGAGCAATGAAGAGTCTAAACTTCTGTGTACACCACAATACAAACAACCTGGGGCCTGCACCACAAAGCCATAATAGCTGGTTAGCCAGATAAGTTTTAGTTTAGTTTACACCAAACCTGGGTTTTAGGTACCATGAAGGTAGATTGGCTTTAATTGCTTTTTGTTGCCATGGCAGCATACACTGCAAAGCTAACTTGCTCTAGGTTAGGTTATGTTCTGGTTGAGACATCACAAACTGAGATTCCACCAATCATCTGTGAGCAAACTGACACATGACTTAATAAGGACACTCCCCCCATTTCTGCTGATCAAATTAAAGGTTATTCAAAGATTATTCATGATATATGTTTTAAATGATTTATATTTTAATAGTGATTTACATTATATCTGTAATCCATTGTATTTTAACTTAAATGCTATTTTCTTGTTTGATTAAACATAAATGTATAGATGGTTGCAAAATAAGAATTGTTTTCAATCAATATGAAGATAAAAGGGAAAAAAAAATTTGAGGTTAACTTACAGTCAATAGCCCCTTTCACACAGTGATATTGGTAAATATCCAGAAAATTTCCAGAACAACTTTACCAATAAATTAAAAATAGCGCTGTTCATAAAGGCACCGATGTTTAGGAATTTTTCTGGAAAAGACCATTCAAACATCCATTCCAAAATACTGGTAAATTTTACACTGGGAAAGCTTTTGTTGATAGTTTTACTTTTTATTAAGGTATGTGTGCCGGCGCTCACCAGAGCACTCCTTTATGTGCACATGCGTCAAGCAACTAAAGCAGAGCTTAAAGGTAAAGAAACAGCGGCTTATCATAAGCATTTTATCGAAAGTTTTTTTACATACAGTAGTTGGCATTGAGAAGGAACAAAGAAACATTAATTAGCAGCTAAATGTGTCCGGAAAATTTTCAAAGACTTTTATTTTCATAATCAACGTGGATGTGAATGCGCCTGATTGCTCTGATTGGAACATTCTAAAAGTGAACACGCTCTTTCCGGCAATTTTCATTCTGCGTTTACACAAAGCAGCATTCCAGCAAATTACCAGTAATGTTACAACTTCTCTATCCGGAAAATTAACGGAACAAATTTACCAGTATTTTCAAAACATTTTACACATGACCTCTTTCCAGAAAATTCTGAAAGGTCTGTATCTGTGAAAGAGGCTTATGTATAGAGGTGTTTACAACCTCAGTTGCACTAATAAAGCTTCTTTTGTCCTTCAGCTCTTGTCATCTTGCTGTATAAAGGCTTTTAAATTATTCATATTTTAAAAACTTTTTTCTTTCCTAGTAATTGCATCGACTCTCTCAAGAAGTCAATCTTAGTTTAGTATCTTAGTTTCGAGGCATGTGTTTGATGCCCCACTTTCATCCGCACATGCTCGTGAACTCAAAATCCGAGCAAACTGATAAAGTTTATGACGACGGTCGAGGCAACAACAAAGCCAGATTGATCTGATTTAATTTTGTCAACTCAAAACTAATCCTGTAATTTTGAATTTGTTCAGCCATTATATCAATATCATTGTGCAGGCATCTATTCACCCCAAATAATAATAATAAAAAAAAAACTGGTAGAACAAAGTTAAGACTTGTAGCTCTCATGATGGTATATTGAGGTTTTGTTTATATGCAACTAACTGAACATTATTTATGATATATAATGGCGATTAAATTAAACCGTCCCTTTAAGGTGTGCTCAATCAATTGTAAATTTTAATCCTGTGTAAAAATCTTTCATTCTTACACAGCTCAGCTCTACAAAAGCACCACTGTTGTAGAATCCACTTTAACTATCACACTCTCAGCTTGATTCCTACCATCATCATGATGCAAGATGATTGACAAGTGATCAATGTGGTTGGTTATGTTTCTTTTGGCCAGAGTCTAAGGCAGTCTCAAATATAATCCTAATAAATCTCCACTAAGAGGTCTGAGTGGCGTTCCGTACAGCTCGCTTACAGCACTTCTAATCAAAGCTCTTGAAATGATCAATTTTCATGCTTGAGTTGTGATTGATTCTGATTTCAAGCCCTTTTCTTTGATTTCATTATGGCTGCAAAATCATAGAACAAGAGAAAAACAGATTTTTAGATCTTCTAAATAAACTGTAACCTTTAACCTGAAATCAGTATGTAATCGTAGCTGACTAATACTCCCTTTATCCCCGTTTAGGAGAACATAGAGCTTGCATTAGATGACATAGAGTCCAGTACATCTCTGTCTGTAGCAGCTATAGACCAAGCCTCATCTCAAGCATTGGTAAGCAACTCTTTCATCCCGTCCTCATCTCTCCTTCTCTCCTCAGGTTTCTGTTGTGCATCCCAGGCTGTCCCCAAAGGGCCCTTACTTGGTGTTTTTTTAGTTTTTAGTTTCAGAAGCGACTTGAATCATTGAGTTTTGCGTTGTCTTCTTTAATGCTGAGGGAAATTCACAGTTTGACTGCTCGAAAGTTGTAGTTGATGACTTTCGTGTTCTTTAGTTTGTCATTCGAGTGTGAACTCAACCTTAGAGTTGTTATCTGTGGCGGCAAGTTATTAGATTGTCATTTCTAACCATTCGTTTCGGGAGCATTGTGTCAGGAACGTGCCATTCTGGGATGTTAATGAGAGCAGAGAGGCAATTTTTTTTTCTCTGTATGTGTGTGTATGTATATGTGTGTGGGTGGGTGGGTATTGAGGAGAAAGCGTCCTCCCTCTTCCTGAGGCACAGCGTTCAGCATCTTTCCTAACGAAAGCACTTTTGATGACATTGTTTCTCTCTCAAAATGATTCGGGACATCTAGTCAGATCTGAAGTGGAATCAGACATATACAAGGAGCTCTACATGTTTTGCTGGTGTATATATTTGTAGCTTTGATTTGAAAATGTGAACTATTGATTTGCATTTCTTGTATGTGGTTGTATGAAGTATTTATGTAGTACATACAAGGATGTGCCATTGGATGTGAAGACTCAGCAGGCATAGAATGATGCTTATTTAGTGAAAAAGTGAGATAGTGATGCGTGAGCCAAATACTACTTTTCAGTTGTGAGCTGCTTTACCCTCAATAGAGAATAGGATAGACCATGACAATATCCTCTTTCTCTTTTTCTTCTCCTTAATTTTCTTCTACTTTCCTTTCTTTTTCCTCTTCTTCCTCTTTCTCTTTTCCTTTATTTTCTTCTTCTTTTTCTGTTTCTTCTTTCTTCCGTTTCCTCTTCCTAATCCTGTTCTTCTTCCTCTTCCTATTCTTCTTTTCTTTTGCCCTCTTTTTAATCATAGTCTTCTTTTTCTTTCTCCTCCTCTTTTTATTTTTCTTCTTCTTCCTCCTTTTTCTCTTTTACTTTTTTCTTTTTTCTTCCTTTGCTACTTTTTCTTCATCCTCCTCTTTTTCGTCCTCTTTCTTCTCTTTTCTTTTTCCGTCTTTTTCATCATCGTCTTCTTTTTCTTTCTCCTCCTCTTCTTCTTTCTCTTTCTCTTCTTTTTCTTCCTCTGATTTTTTCTTCTTCATCCTCCTCTACTTCTTCCTCTTTCACTTTTTCTTCCCCTTTCTCTTCTCCCTCTTTCTCTTCTTCTTCTTCCTCATCCTGCTTCTTCTTCTTTTTCTTCCCTTTCCTTTTCTTTCTCTTCCTTTCTTCCTTTTTCCTCCTCTTTATCCTCTTCCTCTTCTTACTCATTCTCTTCTTACTTCCTCTTTCTCCTCTTCATCCTCTATTTCTCTTCCACTTTTCTTCCTCTTTTTTTCTATATATTTTCATCAGCTTCCTTTTCCCCTCCTCTTTCTTCTTCTTCTTCTTCTTCTTCTTTTTCTCTCATTCCTCCTCTTCTTCTTCTTTCTTCCTTTTTCTCTTTTTCTTCCTCTTCCTCCTTTTCTCCTCCTGCTTCTTCTTTTTCTTCTTATTCTTTTATTCCTTTTCCTCTTCATGTTTTTTTCTTCCTCATTTTCCTCTAATTTTCGTCTTCCTCTTTTTATTCTTCCTCTCCCTCCTCTCTCTTTTTTTCTTTCTCTTCTTTGTCTTTTCCTCTTTTCTTTGTCCTCTTGCTCTTTTGCTTCTTATGTTTCCTCTTCTTCTTCTTTCTCTACCTCTTTTTTCATATTCATCTTCCTCTTCCTCTTCTTCTTTATCTTTTTTATCATCTTCCTATTTTCCTCCTCCTCCTTCTTCTTCTTCTTCTTCTATTTTCTCCCTTTTCCTTCCCCTCCTCTTTTTCTTCTTCTTCTTCTTCTTCTTCTTCTTTTTCTTTCTTTTTTCTTCTTCCTCTTCTTTTTCCTCTTCATCCTTTTCTTCCTCTTCTTCTTTTTCTCTTTTTTCTTCCTCTTCCTCTTCTGCCTCCTCCTCCTTCTTCTTTTTCTTCTTTTTCTTCTTCTTCTTCTTCTTCTTCTTCTTCTTCTTCTTCTTCTTCTTCCTCTTTCTCTTTTCTTCTTCTTTTTCTTCCTTTTCCTCTTCATGTTTTTTTCTTCCTCTTCTTCCTCTTATTTCCTTCTTCCTCCTCATCTTCATCTTCTTCCTCTTCTTTTCTTTCTCTTCTTTCTCTTTTCTTTTTTCTTTATCCACTTCTCCCTTTTTTCTTATTTTCCTCCTCTTCTTCTTTCTCTTCCTCTTCCTTTCCCTTTTCCTATTCTTCTTCCTATTCCTCCTCCTCTTCTTCTTCTTCTTCTACATCTTCTTCTTCTTCTTTTCACTTCCTCTTTTTTTCTTCTTCTTTTCCTTCTTAATATGATTATTAATGATTTAAAGGTTGCCATCTGCTGATATTTTTTATTGAAAATCATTTATTTTATTTTATTTTATTTTTAAATATTTAAAAGTAAACAATCCTAAAACAAAATAAATGAACTGGTAAAAAAGTATATTTAAAAGTATAGTTTTCTCAGTGCTGGCATTAATATGCTAATCACACACTACACGATGCATTTAATTTAGTCCTTTTCAAGGTATTACAGCAACCAATTACCATTAATATCTCAAGTACCCATCTTTTCTTAAAGATTGATTTAATAGATTGAATAAATAGATTTAAACAGGAATGCCTCGCTACAATATTTGATGCGGTCAGTGATGCATGACTGACTGCAAAGATTGCTATAATTGACATGTACAGTAATATTCACCTTAGATGTTGCGTTTTGACCCCTGTGGTCACAATCAGTCATTAGAATTACAATACCTGTGCTGTCATAGTTTTTCTAGTATTTCCTTGCTCCTAACATCTGATGTTAGAAATTCACAAATTAAATTTAATTAAAAATTATGCAATCGAAAGCTTTCATTAAAACAAGCCCGAAGAGTTAATTAGCCAGCCTCCACCTATCTAGTATTGAGGCAAACTGACAAGCGTCACTCGTGTGAAAAGTAATATTTAAAGACATATTCAGAGTATTCATGAGCCTACGTAATTGCTGTAAGTTCTTTTTGCACACCGGTCTCATCTCTAGTTATTCAGCAGCCTGCAAAGTGTCAGTGCGGTAATGCAGAACAAGGGAGAAGCCATTACTGGCATTAATTGCTTAAGTAGACAGGCAGAGTGTAAGGTTTAAAAATGCCTGCCTGACTGCCCCGCAGCTCTTACTTAATACAGGCCTTTAATGAGGAGCCCAAGACTAATAGCTCATCTTTTTTCCCCTCTCGTTTTCTCCTCCTCTCTCTTATTCTATAAAGGATAGTAATTGCTTTCATGTAATGACTAATGTTGTGTTTGAGGTCATTATCGAAATATGAAATGAAAAGTAAATTAAACAATGCACAGCCTTGATGAATAAAAAGGGGCTTGAATTGCGAGTAAACAAAGTTCTTGAGAGAGATTGAGCTTGTTATAGTCACAAAGCAGCATGTGCAGTAGTCGTGTTGATGAATCATTTGAAGAAGAAGCTCGAAAAATGTGCCACATCTTTGCAAAGAGCGATGAGAGGAATAAGGTAGTGTTTGCATAAGGTTTTTAGAGTTTAAAGTTGTTTTGTACTGTATGTGTGCACGAACGGGGAGTTTCTTTTTTAATTTGAATGGTTCTAGCATATTTTTCCCAAGCCAAATTAATTTTTCAGTTGTTGTCAATGGAAAAGCCGTGATTTTTTTATGCTCTGAGCTGAGCATTTTTGGAAAAGCGAAGGCCACTTCAGCTGTGCAAAAAAGCTTAATTTGGGGTTTTTTGAGTGCAATGCTAATGGTCTAATCTGATGTAATGATTTATGCTAAGCTAAGCTAACCAGACGCAGAGATCTACTGTATGGATTTAAAAACTCAAAGGTTGTTTTAAGTTGAGTTTATTAAAAATTTCTTTAAAAAATTCTTAAATTTCTTTCTGGTTGTTATGTTATATGTCAGACTTTACAGGTCAACTCAAAGTAAAATATGTCATCATCGCCATAAATGTGGGGGCTCGTCCGGGATAAGTAGGGTCCATTTTCTGCTCCCCAAGTTTACAGACCACAGTTTACAGTTCAAGACAAAGTGGCAGTGTCTGAATTCGTATTTCATTTCTCTGCAACAATTTCCATTAAACATATTTTTCCCATTGAACATATTTTATTTTTAAGAACCATTTACAACATTTTGGGACAGTAGGGCTAAATAAGCAAAACAAACAATGGACTTCTGCTATCATTAGTTTCAGAAGCCCAGATTTATTTACAGCTTGAAAAGGCATGATGTCTTTGGATATAAGAATTACTACTACACTGTTTATGTTCATAGCAAGCTTTTAAGCAATTTGTTAATCAAATTTATGCTGAATCATAAGCTAACCAGTGGCTTTTTTGGTGTGGATGTGGATGCTGCTGTAGATACTGTTGCCCTAAAAAGAAGAAAAATAGAGACTGACATTATTTTTACACTAAATCTTGTATTACAGTTATTAAATTAACATTACTCTTGTGTCTGTTTTGGTTATAAAAGGGGTGCCCAAACTCTGTCCTAGAGGGCCTGTGTCCTGCAGATTTTATCGCCAACTTGCCTCAACACACTTGCACCGATGTTTCTAGATAGCCTAGTAAGAGCTTGATTAGCTAGCCCAGGTGTGTCTGATTTGGGTTGGAACTAAACCTTGCAGGAGACCTGCCCTCCAGGACTAACTTTTGGCACCGCTGGGTTATATACTGGTTATATACTGCTGTTTTGGCTTTATACTGTACTGAATTTAACAATTGCAAGACAATTACATGATTTAATTTATCATAATTGTAGATACAAATAGTACTGTTAACATTTGGAACTAGCTTCCCAACTATTAAAAAAAAGAAAAAATATAAGCAAATTTGAATATAATAATTAAAGGTAGACATACTGCATCTGCTCTGTTGTCATTATGACATGAATTGCCTGGATTCCTTACTCGCTTCCATTCAATACCATGATTTCAGACATACCACACTACTCAGATAGTCTTTTCACACACTGCATATTCAATTTCAAAGGTAGCCTATGTGTCCTCATATGTCATTGTGCTTCAGGTACGGACTCTGGCCAGGACGGATGAGGCGAGGGGCCTGCTGTGGCTGATGGAGGAAGAAGCTCTTCAGCCTGGGGGCTCGGAGGAAACTCTGCTGGAAAGACTCTTCAGTTATTACAGTCCTGCGGATGGAGAGAGCAAAGGTCAACACACATCCCACATGCTCACACACACACGTCATTGCATGTAGATGTATGCAGAGTTCATGCTCAATGTCTCCCACAGGCCCCGCCCTGCTCCTGAAGAGTGACAAGCCGCATCACTTCCTATTGGGTCACAGCCATGGCACTGACTGGGTGGAGTATGATGCTGGGGGCTGGTTGAGCCATGCCAAACAAAACCCTGCCTCTCAGAATGCTGCCATTTTGCTGCAAGACTCTCAGAAGTAAGTAGTGTTTGCTTAATGCCATCAACCATCTTCTCAAATTTGTTGGTAGAATTATTTATAGATCTGTTGGGATTATCAGTAGAAATATTTTATGACCTGTACTGGTTTTCTTTTGGCTTGGGGTTTGATGACCATGTAATAACACAAAACACATACCATGGTAAATATTACAAAATACAAACAAACTAAATAAACATAAACAGCTTCCGATTAGAATCAACATGCAAATCAGCCAGCAGATTATCAGTAACGTACTTAGATTTTTTGGAAATTGCATGACTTTGTTACAGACCTGCTAAGTTTCATGCCAATAATATGGTTTGCTCTATAATTCAGTGATCTATTGCATGTATATTGAAGAGCCGCTGAGTACTGTATAACAGCTGACAGGTCAGGAACACTAATGCTGTATTTCGGCATCTAACGGCAGACACTGAATTAGGTTTTTCTCTCGCGCTTGAACAGCATCTGACAGAAGTATAACGGCTTTAACACACATCTTTCTTTCAAAATTAAAGTTGATGGTCAAAAAAACACCCCGTTAGCCTCTCAAAACGGTATTGAGAACAATTTTCTGATCAAGATTTACGTGTTGTAAACGCTATAAACAGACATCCGAAGCATCTTACCAGAAGACTGGTCACTACGGGGCCCTCCATGCAACAATGAAGAAAAATGTCTATATCAGTTAATGCCATTGTGAATCCATAATTGCACCAAAATTATGCAACATAATTCCTCATCCACCATCAGTGTGCAGCATCCACCGGGATGACAGCGATGGCAGCACATACCAGCTGATTGGTGGAGAGGAGACAGAGTGATGAAGCCAATTATGATATAGGGATGGTTAGAAGGCCATGATGGACAGAAGCCAGTGGGCAAATTTTTGCTGAGGTTAAACCACTACTTTTTTTCAAAGTACATGCTGGAATTTTTAACGACCACAGAGAGTCAGGACCACGATTTAACGTCTCATCGGAAAGACGCCACTCACTGACAGTACAGTGTCCCCTTCACTATATTAGGGCGTTAGGATCCACACAGACCGCAGGTTGAGCATCCTGCTGGCCTGATTAACACCACTTCCGGCAGCAACCTAGCTGTGGTCTCCCATCCAGGTACTGACCAGGTGCAGCCCTGCTTAGCTTTAATGGGCGAGCATGCAGAGTTGCAGAGAGCTAGCTGCTGGCTTAATTAACTGAATCATGTATTACACAACCAAACATTACAGAATAAGATGACATCCCATTGTCAATGTATAATTCGCACCCTGGTCTCATGGCCAAACTAGTTGAGAGCAACTGTTAGAAGATAAAGGTTAACAGCTGATCTGTATATGCATATTCTGTAATTACAGTAGTCCGATACATTACATTATTATATAACATCATATAATATTTTTATATCCCATGATTTTTCCAGAATTTCATCCTATATCATCTTAACAGTTTCATATTCCCTCAAATATCAACAACTGCACTTCCTGAATGAAACATTTTTGCTCTCTCGCTGAGCACAAACAATGTTTTTTTTTATTGTCTTAAAGTTTATTAAAGTATTTGATAAAGTTCCATACTTTTTCAAACAGACCATTAGTTTTAAATGTCAACCTTTAAACAATAAAAAAATGTTTACATCCTGTACTGTGCTTTTAATGTTTGCTGGAAAAAACAACAACTGCGGAGGTGCAATTATGTGAAATGGCAATGCTTTTTGCTAATTTCGTAATGTGTTTTAAACGTGGAGGCGTTAAAGGATCCGGCTCATGCTGCTCATGTCTTTGTCTGTGCAGGAAGAACATCAGCAGCTTGTTTATGGGGCGTTCAGGAGGAGCCACAGTTTTGTCCGGCTCTATCGCTGGGCTGGAGGGTGGGTCACAGCTGGCTCTGCGCAGGGCCACAAGCATGAGGAAGACCTTCACCACCGGTGTGGCTGCTGTTAAGAAGAAGTCCCTCTGCATACAGGTTAAACTACAAGTGGTGAGTACTTCAGATAAGACAACTACTTCCATACACTAGTGCAATCAAAACTGATAGACTGAGTGCATTGAAATGGAAACTTTATTTTAGACCTGGAACAGAATGTGGGGATCTCAAGAGGCCATAGAGATAAAACTCATTATAATTAAAGGACCACCATCACAATATGACAACAAATATGTAAATGAACTAACCTTATGTATAAGTGACAATGGTTGTGGTTCAATTTGAACATGGCTGTATTATCTTAGAGCAGGTTGACTGATGGCCGATATAAAGCTAATATGATGTCACATTATTTAATTTAAAGATGAGTAACTTAAGCTCCAATTTTTTCATTTTATCTAATTTCTGCTAACTTAGGAATAAATTATTTAAAATAATAAAGAACTTAATTTAAAAAGACGAAGATTTATTTAATCAATACGTTTTTAAAATGAATAACTAATAGATTTACTGAACTAATAAAACATAGCAAATGCTACATTTCATTGTGTATCATTTTGTCTAATCATTTACTATAAGGATAGTAAACCAATAAAGACAGAAGGTGCGTCCCAAATCGCATACGTATACACTATTCTTTGCCATTTTTGTAGTATAAATAGTGTATGTAGTGCGTTCACACTAAAAACTCTAAAATCTAAGTGCACTGTAAATACACGGGTGATGCACTTATTCAGCTGTTTATAAAAAGTGTGGAATGACGGACACTTCGCACTCAGCGGCTGCTGCTTTGCTCACTAGTGGAAGGGGCGGAGCTTTGGCGCACTGATGTTAGACTATTGATTTCGGATTCTCCTACGAGAGTGATTATACTACCTCCAAATTGTGAAAGCAGTTAAACTCATGGCAGGGATTATTTGGTAGTTTGGTCATTCATTTCACTAATTTGGCAACCGTCAAACGTCATCAGGGAAGTGGTTTGAAATTTCGTTTAGTAAAAAAATAATAGTTTTCCATTTAGGACATCACTACATTCATATACTATGCTGTTCAGTGTGTAAGTGCATAAGTACATAAGTAAATGTATAGTGTGCCATTTGGGACACAACTAGAAAGCTAAAGCTTCTCTTTGTTTGCTCTCAATCATTGTAATTCTAAGCAATGTCAAAATAACTTTCACTTATCGGTCAAACATTTTAGGAGCACTAATTCCACAAATATTTTTCCTTTTTTTTCATTCAAATAATACAAAAAGACAAAAACTGTATCATATAGATATCTGTATCATATCTGTTTTTTTATTGCGTTACCTAACTAATAAAGCATCACATAATCCATTTTAAAGTGCATAAATACAAAGCTATAGGGAATTACCAACCTATGTCACACATGATGTTACATGGGTTCAACTGCGCATAGCGGTAGCAAAAAAATACCGGTTGCAATAGCAAACAGGTTGTGTTCTGCGGTAGGATGCCAAAATCGAAAGTCCAAAAGTAGAAAACTAAAATTTTACTGTACACCACACTCCTTTTAATGCCAACCGCAGACGTCTATGGCTATCAGCCATTAGAAGAGCCGATTGGAGTGAGCCCTTAATTAAAATGCTGGACTCTGCAGTTCTCATTTTATATCGGGCAAGTTCACTCTATGCTGAATCACACATTACTTGTTTTTGATTGCTGCAATGATTTCAGCAAAAACATTTAAATATGGTTCATTAAACTGCGGACACTGAATGCTTAGAATGAAATGTAAAAATGTAAGTTCACTTACCCTGCCACACAGGTGCGGTTTGCTGTCAGAATGCAGTTGTTTTGCTTGTTGATGATTACCCAGGCCTTGTACAGTTCTGTTTTCTTTCCTTGTCTTTGGCTAGGCAGAACCTCGGTTTTTAGCACTACAAAGTTTTGAATCTGGTAATCATGGAACATTATTTCTTGCACATGACCACACAGAACAAAATTGTAGGCATCCAAAGACTTGTAGGCCTTTAACTTCTCTCTTGTAAAAACATTTGCAGTTTCAATGAGATAGTTGTATATTTGGGGCTGTATGCTTGGCCATTTCATCTTATCCCATATCCATTGGAAGGGTGCTATCACTGATGGACTTGTCAGACGAACACCGCTCACTTTAGCGTTAATTTTGCAGAATAACTGTGCTTACCACTGGGTGACAAGCTGTTATAATACTCTGAAAGCATTATGTAAATAATATATACAATATGTAATCAATATAACTTATCTCTAATACAACAACAAACTCTGTACAGCATTGGATGTCATTCCCTCACAGTAAATGCTAGCGCTCCTGTTTTTTTTTCTGCAACCTTGATGTGTGCACATCCTGAATTTTTACAAACAGGTAATTCACCTGTAAGTTGCTGCCTATAGACATCAAAACAATATTTTCCCCCTTTTTTTGGCAAAGTATTCAGTCATTTACAAATATTGAAATATTTTGATTGGGTGAGGGGAGCCAAGTATATCTTAAGTTGCAGTTTGCTGCTTGTGACTCTGATCAGTAACGTTTTTAATTAATGCAAACAGATGGTTTCAACAAAAGCTTGTAAAACTGAACCTCTGAGATCACAGCAGGTCTTTCATATATTGACATATATTGAATCCAAATGACTGTGTGGTGTGTTTTCTCATAGGATGCATTAATGGATACAGTGAGGCGGTCCAGGGTGCACTTTGTCCATTGTCTGCTGCCTAAAGCGGAGACTCTGAGTGCGGATGTGAAGGTGCCTGGAGGAGAGAGCTGTGACACCGGCCTCATGCAGCTGGATGTGTGTTTGCTCCGAGCGCAGCTCCGAGGCTCCAAACTACTCGACGCCCTCCGCATCTACCGTCAAGGTCAGGATTTAAAAATGCAGCAGATTAAAAAACACAAGATAAAGACAGCGAATGACCCTCGTTATCGATCCGTGACCTTTATTTTGAAGAAAATCTATGAAGAGAGGAAAAGATTTGAAAGTTCAGGTTTTTTTCCTTGCAGGTTTGACTTTTCTGAGTATCGCATTTTTCTCCCAGGGTTTGTTGACCTTTGATGTTTTGTAGGGCTTATGTGGCCACATGAAATTGGATGTTTCATTTGTAATTTGAGACATTCGTGGGTTTGTTTTGTCAAGTGGTCTTTGAACATATTGCAGTGGCGTGAGTAACAGAGTATGCGTTTTTTTCATGAATTTAATAACACTTAATTGATTTAATGGTGGGCTGCACAATATATCGTTTGAGCATCAATTTTGCAATGTGTGCGTCACAATAGTCAAAACGCAAGATAGGCAATACTGAGTTGAAATTAAAGTTGACCAGAAACTACAGGTTAAAACACATGAGATTTGTGTAGACACTGTGTAATTGAACCATAATAGAGTAAAAGTTTATCATCTGCATTTGTTTTTAGGGCCTGTGACTGTGAGAGCATTTTAAGAGAATTTAAATCATTTTAGTAGCGCATAAAGAAGTTTAATAAAGAATAATTTAATTCAATTATTTATGGTTAAGACTATGCAATGTTATTTTACATTTGATTATTGCATTTCCGTAACTAAATACTGTTACTCTCTCCAGAAAACCATGCAGCACTGATTATTTCACTCTAATATTTGCTCCGTTTTTCAATTATGACTGTACTTTATTATATGTAAATAATGAATTACATTAAACTATATTTATATTTGACTTCCCCACAAAACCATCCCAATGAATCTAAAGTAAAGACTTGGAAAATAGAGCTATTTGGTCATAATATATATAGCAGAGAAAAAAGTACTACAATGTTAAATTTGTCTAATATCGTGCAGTGTATGATTAAATGGTTTTGACAAATATAAAACATATTTTATATTCTATTGAAAATCTTCTAATTTACTAATCGATTTTAAACAAATAATTACAAAATTTTAAGTCGTTTTAATTAATGTTTTTATTAATGAGCAGAAATGAACCAGATAGTTAGACCTATACTGTAAAAAATGCTGAGTTTCACGCTATTTATTCATGTTGTCCTAACACAAGTCGATTAAGCTAACTTAATTATTTTTACAAATTTGAGTGGATTAAACATAAAATTAAGCTGTTCCCTCAAAAAAAAAACTCAAGAATTGTGTTGTTTCAGCTCATTTTACATAAGTAGTTTGAACGAGCAACAAAATGTTGTTTCGTTAAATTGATTTAAAACATTACATTGAATTAAATGATTATCTTGTTTCATATTTTTTTATTCATCTCATTTCATTTATTTTGCTTGAATTATCTGACCAGACTTAATACATCATATTGTTTTTAGTAGTCATATTTCTGAGATATTCATGCACTTACAGTAGTTTGTAGAGTGTTCTTAAAAAAACAAAACAATGCAGTGAAATCCACAAAATCTTACAAAAAAAGTTTTGTCATATTTCAGCTCAAAGCCCTGAGTAAGCAGAACTGTGTCCAGATAAGCGACTGACCGATGCCCTCATCACTGCTCTCTCTGCTGAACCTCCACAGACCCTGTAGCTTTCCAGACTCCCCCCCCACCACACACACGCACACGTCCTTCTCCTCTAACAATCCTGACATTTGCCTCTTCCCGTTCCTCAAGGTTATCCTGATCATTTGGTGTTTTCGGAATTTCGCCGCCGCTTTGATGTGCTGACTCCTCACCTGACGAAGAAACACGGACGCAACTACATCGTAACTGATGAGAAACGGGTAAGAGTGTGTTTTGTTTGGCTCCTCCTTCACGAGCTGCTCTTCCGTGTAATTGATTATGACAGTGCTCAGGGCAGAGAGCTGTGTTGTTGATTAATGGGCTGTAGTACACATCTTTTTCCCCTTAATCTTGCCTCGGCTCTGGTGACAGGGCAATAAAGGCTTTAATCAGGGCCCAGAGTGACGACTCTATCAGCTGCATCCTGTCCTGTCACTGACCCCGCTTCTGTTAGTGAGTCTACAAACAGACATAATGTCTTAAAGCAAACTTCCAGCGTGGATAAATGGATGTTTGTGTCTGTATATATACACGTTCATTTTAAACATGGATACAATGCATGGATATACAGTATCAGTTAAATAATTATTTATTTGATGATCTATGTTTCAAAACAATTTGATTTAAAGCAGGGGTCTCAAACTGAAATTGCCGTTGGGCCATATCAGTGACGAACAATTCATAGAAGGGCCGTTATAACATTCAAGCACAAGAAAAAAGTGGAAACCTGATGTAATTGATGCACTCAGACATTCTTCCTCAGAGTATCAAAGCACCGTCTTTTTGTTTCTTGTTGTACATATTGAAGGAGTAGTTTAAATTGCTATGAAAATACTACAATTTAATAATAATAATAGTTATGTCCCAATCAATTGTTGCTTAACCAAAAGTTAGATAGCATAAGGCAGCAGAAAAGAGTTTGGGTAACTTTGTTGACTTTACTGGCAATTGTTCTTCTCACTATCTTTCTTTTTTGTAAAACAACAACAAGGAGAGGAAAAGTAGTAAGGTATATATATTCACATTTACTTTGACATGTTTAATTCAGCCAGCAGTTAAATTTTACTAATGCACATTTTTATTAAATTCTTAATATGCATATTAGGAAAATCTATTTAATGAGACCATTTGAATTGAAGCAAAAAAAATATCATATTAACACCACCAGCATAACATGTAAGCCATGAAGAAATGTTTGTACAACAGGTGGTATAAAAAATATGACCTTTGAATATTTACAAAAATATAGCTTTAGTAAAATTAGAGCATTTACGGACGTATATTTCAACGTTTAAATTAGCCTCAGAAATAATCTGCATGTACGTTACTCTTGACTGCATGCTGAGAGAAACCGAAAGTAACCCGAATATATAGTACAGTACTTAAAATGTCCAGTAGGTAGGGGTTCAAAACCTCAAGTGGCTGTATGCTACTGCACAACAATGATAGTGTTTTAAAAATATATGTTTTGGGGGGAGTCCTATCTCGTTATATTTTTGATGTCAGTTGCGGGCTGGAGGGAGGAGGAGGGATAGCTGCATATGGCCCATGGGCCAGCAGTTTAATACCCCTGATTTAAAGGCTTGTAGCTAAATGCATAATTAGTTTCTAAAGAAAATATCTATTGAAATATATTAAATGGTATTTTCTAAATTTAGTTAATATTGTTTTTTTCAATCAGAATGAATGTGTGTGTGCATGCATGTTTGCGTGCGTGTGTGATTAATTGCATGATTTAGTGATAGAACTTAATTAATTAATCTCGCACTAATTTTAATTATACCCAAAAGAAAATCTAAAGCCATTATTTAAAACTAAAGCATAAAACTTAATTAATAATAATAAAACATAAGTAAGAAAGGCAAGGAGGAATAAGCTTATTTAAACTAAATGCTTACTTAAAAAATATTAATGTGATTTAAAAATCCCTGACTTTATTTCTTATTTTTATTAATGAGCTTGAATAGGTGGATGAAAACTCCAGGTGGGGCCAGGAGGAAAATAATACTACTTTTTTTGTCAATACAATTGTTTTTCCCAAATGCCTTTCAGACTTGCTGTTCTAAAATACAAAAAGTAGTATGTGTCTAAACTCTTGACTTTACTGTTTGTTTATTATCTGTTGATGCAGTACCACACATAATATAATTCCATTTATTTCCATAGGCAAACATTTCACAGACTCGAACACAGGAGAATGATCTTTGTTTGCTCTTTACCTGTCTTTTTGAGGTCTCACTTTAGTAAGCAAACAGAAGCAGATTCCCCATTAGACCTGCGATCTGTCTGGAGCTGCTCAGTCTGAGGCCTGGCCTTTCAATCGTCTTCTGCCACTGAACCTGTTCACCAGTCGGCCCCTGTGCCCCTGCGGAGAGCACTCAATACCTCTCTGTGCTTTTAGCTCAAACTCTAGCCATTAGTCATCAGTCCGCTGAGTTTTTTTTTTTAAATCCCCCTGCCATGTTGTTATTTGCCTGACATTCTGTCAGGAAGAAAGTACTCATGGGTGAGTGGAAGAGAGAGGTCAGACATTAAGACAGTTGTTTGTGACCCACTTTCCCCAAGGTGTGCTGGCTTTTTGGACAGAAAGAGCACCCAACATGTATAGTCAGCACACTGTCCTCTTGCTGACCTGCTAGGGTGATCTTTATGTCTGTCTCAGTGTTTTATATGTGTGTGTCTGTGTCTCTGTGTGTTTCAGGCTGTCGAAGAGCTGCTGGAGTCTCTTGAGTTGGAAAAAAGCAGCTATCATATGGGATTGAGTAGGGTAAGTGAGAACTTAAACTGTGTGCACCTACTAAACTAAATATTAAAAATGATAATGTAGCTGGTGAAAGTAGACTGAGAAATGGCTCATTACCTGTATTATGTATGCTATTCACTCTGCCAACAGAATTTTTGATGTAATATATGTCTGACATCAAATATTTCAAAAAGCCAAGTAGTACTTCACAAATATTTTGTAAACTAGTCAAGAGTGGAATTATGGAAATGCCAGTGCACATTCTGTGTTCAGTTCTTGCCTCTTTTTTTTAATTGTGTATTTAGTACATGAATGCAATGGTGAACTGTTGAACCTTTTTTACTCCTTGTGATTGGACCAGACAGGAAAATGGAAGGAAAATCTTCTAAAATACAAGTCTAATTCTCACACACACACACACACACACACACACACACACACACACACACACACACACACACACACACACACACACACACACACACACACACACACACACACACACACACACACACACTCACTCTTTGTGGTCACATATATGTGGTATATATGCATACAAATATACGTTCACCGGCCACTTTATTAGGTACACCAGTCCGACTGCTGGTTAACTCAAATTTCTAATCAGCCAATCACATAACAGCAACTCAATGCATGTAGACATGTTCAAGATGGCCTGTTGCACTTCAAATCGAGCATCAGAATGGGGAAGAAATGTGATTTAAGTGACTCTGAACATGGCACTGCTGATCTACTGGGATTGTCACGCACAACCATCTCTAGGGTTTACAGAGAATGGAACAGGAGATTCACATCATGGAAATGTGTGTATATATAATTACATCTGATTTTTTTTATATAAAATAATTAGGTTACATTTTTGAGCATAAATAGAATAAAGGAATACCTAATATATAAATTGTTTACATTTTAAATAAACATTTATTTTAGTTTTTATTATTATATGACATTTTATTTTTAATAACCTGTTTAGCATTTAACTACTTAAGCCAAAGCAAAAATGATTAAAATGAATGAAAAATTATTGGAAATTTATGGGAGTCAAGGATATTTGACAAAAATGCTCCCGCTATTGCCAATGCAGCATGGACACATGATCAGTTGCTCATATGCATCAATGATTACTATGGGGTCATTCACGGACTGTCAATAGGCTCAAGCTGAACTGCTGTTTATCTAAATGAATTTACCAATTTAATAACATAAAGGTTAAGATTTTGTCATAATCATAAAAAAGCTCTTAAGTCATCCTAAAAAGTAGTACTACTTCTCAAATTCAGTCTCTTTGTGTAATGGATCAGTGCGTGGAGTCGGTTTGTGGCATACAGATTCAGTCTGAGTCACAAGGATCAGTTCCAAACAGATGGCATCATTTCCATTTAGATTGCCGAAACGTTTGCTTCTTCTACACCTCTTAGACACAGACAGACTTTAATCCGCTCTGCCGCTGTGCTCACATCTGGACGGAAAGTTGGGCAGGGTGGGCTTTGGCCAAAAAGACTTGTTTCCTCCTCTCCCGTCGTCAAGCACTCTCTGCTCTGGGCCTAGGCTTTACCCAGAATGCTAAGCTGCAGATGGGACATGGCTGGCGTCGTTGGCAGGCCTCATTGGCGGGCGTGTTGAAGCGAGAAAGACAATTATTGTGAAGGTTTTTTTTTTTTAAGATCACATGAGCCAGGCTGGAAGGTTGAGCTATTGCACCCTGGGTCTCCCCTATACTTCGAATGATTAAAGCAGAAATCCTTTTGTGCGTCTTCTGTAGACGAGAGATTGATTCTGGCGAGGCACCGGCTTGCTTTGTTTGGTTTGTTCTGGCTTGGCGCACGCCGATAACTCACTACAAACACCGATCAGCACAGCAAGATATTGTGCTTTCAGACAAAAGACAGCAGCCTGGAGAGAGAGCCAAAATAATGACATTCTGATTGCATAAAGGAGAACAGAGAAGAGTGTGCCCAAGAAACAAATAAATAATTAGGAGATGGCCATGATTTTTCACATTTCTCTCGCTTTTTTTCATCACTGATGGTGATTCTCTTTTTCAGTGACAAATGTATTTTTATTTAGTTTTATTTTATCTTATTATTTTAAGATAAGTTAATTATTATTATCCACTGTAAGTAAGATAAGTTATTTAAATCAAGTGAATTGTTGGCTTTAATGTTTAAAGATCTTTTGCGTGTATATACAATGTCAAAATACGAGTAAAACTATGATCCATCATTATTATAAAACAACATACTTATGTATTCTGAATATTATACTTATAAATATGTCAACTAATAAGTGATCGTACTTGCTGAACATTTTAAATGATTAAAAATTTCACATTGACAAAAGTGCAATACTTAGTCAGCTGAAGGATAGTGGTGAAGAATACACATTTTAATTGCAGTTAATTAATAAATCCTGAATTTATAAGGCAAAACTGGGATCCTTTTAAAATGGCATAATCAAATGGTTTATTTATTTTTATAATAATTTTTTTAGGGCTTTTTAATGGATAGGACAGAGTATATGAACTGACGGAAAATTATGGGGAGCGGAGAAAGGGGAAGGATCACCACATTTGTTGGACATGATCCTTATATTGTGAAGAGGGTTTTCTACTGAACTAAAATATATTTATCTGTCATCGAGGCAGTAGATACTGTACAAGCTATTATGTTACATGTAAAAAACCCTGTAAATACTATAATGTTTGAAAGCATACTATAGATAATTACTTGGATTAAACTGCCATAGTAATAATATTGTTGCTGTGGTACAACACAACTATAGTAAACAAATTTTTCAATAGGCTTCAGTTAAACCATCACAATGTACCACAGTTTACACTAACGTTACTGTACCTATTTATTACAGTTAATCAGTTTACTATGTTTCAGTATTCTGTAGCGTTCATTAACAAAGAGTTGTACACTTTACTATGTGGTTTAAAAGCATGTTTATTATAAATGACTATAGTTTTTTTCCCCTGTATATGCGGATATCTTCCAGACATCACGAAATTACATCTGAGGGTGAACAGATGAAAGTGCACAAAAGTGTGCACACATAGTCTACATTATTTTTATTTTTAAGTGGGAAAAGTGCTCCACAATAATATCTGTGTAGTTTTGTCGCAAGAGTAGCATTTCTTTTTTGTTCTGCTGACGAACTTACCATAAACAAACATTCACTGCTGCTGCGCATATAGACGTTAATGTTACGGTTGTTTATTCTGCTGAAACTTCAGTAAAGACATGGATTATTGCAAAATAAGAAATTTCATTGCAGCAATTACATGGCAGGGCAGTTAATTATATTCTCCTGGATTTTGGTGGTTTTTGTATCTGATTTTATATAACACATTAACATATACACAGCTAGGCCTGTATATAATCTTTATTGGTGCTGTCAAACAAATTAGTCAAACGAGTTTGTACACATGAATGTATTGAATAAATGTTTCTCACATGCTGCCTTTTCTCCTGTTTTTCAACCTTTTCTTAATCTTTACCCCATTTATGAGCAAAAACATTTGGAAGTCTATAAAAGCTGTTCAGCATTTCCTGTTTTGGCCGATTTAAACAATTATAAACAACCCAAATCATAAACATTTGATGGACTAATAGCGATTCATATGTAGAAGAATGCCTTCCTGCTCTCCATCTGAGTCTCGTGCGTCATCAATGACGTCATGTGATAACATTAACAACCTATAACATATTATCAGGTATATTCTGAAAATCATCGTAAAATGTGTTGTAGTACTTTTTTGCTTAAAAAGGTGAGCGCTATAGCTTTTGAACATTCTAATTGTTAAACCTTTAGTGAAATCAAATAGGGTATATGCACATGGACTTTTAAATTCAGTCTGCCAGCCTCAGGGCTTCCGGTTAATTGTCATCCTATACAAAATGGCTGCGTTTAAGGTTTGATTTCCTAAAACAGCAATCTTCACTGCCTGGCTGAAATAAGATATAAAGTGGGTATCAGACCAAACAAGAAGCATTAAGAGCCCATATTATACATGAAATAGGGTCATATCTTAGTTGTAAGGGTCTCCAACAACAGTCTAATATGCATGCAAGGTCAAAAAACACTTTCATGGTCTTATAATCTGCATTTATTTTTACCTAATTATCCCAGCGACTCCCGTATGAATCGTCCAGTGATTCATTTGTTCCCAAACCCCTCCTTAGCGCGAAGCTAATCTGCGCTGATTGGACCGATGACAGCCTGTTGCGATTAGTCGACTGCCTTCAGTCAGAGTGAAATGCCAAACAGCTAATCAGCAATATAAAAGTAATCACAGTTCATACACGCTCGATAGTGTAGGCGTGGATTTTAGCTGCCAGTGGGTCAATGTAAATACAGTCGATGGACTTAAAAATTCAGACGACTTACTGTTTTATTGAGCAAAAACTCCAAAAACTGTCGAGGAGATCTCTTAGCTTGTCTCACTCTGCTCATTTCACAGACACAGACACATACACACACACACACATTGCCCTCGTCCGCGCACACACACACAAAAACACACACACATACCTCCGGCCGACAGCGCACACACACACACACACACTACCCTCGTCCACGGAGCTCCATAAACAAAGCAGCACGCGTCGCATTTTAAACGTGACTTTGCACGCGATAAGAGAATATAGCCAGTTAACCTGATACAGTACATGCGGTTACCAGTAACAAATCACAACTAAATACATTTGCAAGCTAGAGTCAACGAGGCAACTTTAATCGCACATACTTACACTTGAGAAATGAAGGAAGAAACCCATCCTGACGTCCATCAGTAAGTTACTCTTTCCTGATCCTTCCTTTAACAAACGCCGATGAAGTATTCTTTGTAGCATGTAGTTTGCAGAAGTTTCCAGTAGTTTCCAACTGCTTGGTTATAATGCTGAGGTTTCATCTTTGGGTAGAGACTCGATAATATCCATCTGCAGTGTGACTTCAATCAACTGACATGTTTGTGTGCGTGTGTTTGTGGGTGTGTGTATGTATCTGGGTTTCTGCGTCAGAGGGCGGGGCCTCAGGTTTGAAATCTCCCGGTTTTGCGCATGAACGTGAATAACTTGGTTTCGTTCGTACGTCATGGCGAAACACCTAATGACTCGGTATCATGACTCGTTTGAAGCACTATGAGTCGACTCTTTTATAGATGAATCAACCGTTTTAAACACTGTACTCTTACAGATTTAAGCCTTAGCTGGATACTTCACTTCACTTAGAGCTGTGTTACACACTACATGGAGGGGAATTTTCAAAAACCCATAATATGGGCTCTTTAAATAATGTTTTTCCACACTATGTCTTTAAAGTATTGAAATTATTTTACCCCAGTGTTTTCAATGGAATTTCTGCGCTAGCCTGCTGCTAATGACGACGCCTGCGCTTAAACTGTCTTTCTTCCCTTTTTACGCTTTAACAACCAAATGGATGCTTAGGTCTATGTAACAGAATATATTTGAATTGCATTACAACATCATTGCGGTAAAAGAAACCGTATGAAATTGACAATTACATAAATTTGAAGGTCACATAAAACTTTCACCGGTAGTTCATCATTGGCTGACAAACGCTAGCTGTTCATAAATCCAAAGACTATAGAATACACAAGACATGTCACTCGTACACTTTTGAATGAGAAAAAGTGTAACTGTAAATATGGCGAATGAAGCCGCACCTTTTAGTACAGGAGCCAATCAGCGACCGCTATATGATGAATAAAGCCCGCCTTCTAGTACAGTAGCCAATCAGCGATTGCTATTGAATGACAGTTCTCCGAGGGAGGTGCTCGGACCAGACATGAGTTTCTGCAGATTATCTTGTGATACAAAAATTTAGAAATGGAACTAAATAGAAGATTATAGTTTAATTTTATTGGTTATTCATAATATGAAATGTAATTGTAAACTTGTCAAGTAGTTTTGGAGAATTTAATGTTTCCCCATTCAAACAGAATGCCCGAGCACACTACCCGAGAGGAGTTTCAAAGATGTCCGAAATAACTTGCCTTAAAGGGACTTTGATAAAGCCGATTCTCTGTATTCAATGTCATTTTAGAATCTCATTTGTTTACACGCCACTCTGTTTTTATTTTTTTTGTTGCTAACGCACTGCTATTGCGACACCTTAAATTGCCCCTTGTGAGTGCAAATCCTCTTTTTAAACCAAAGATATAAACGAGATCCTAACCAATCATGAACTCCCTCAGCGTCTTATTGAAAACAGTCATTGTACAGTTTCCACCCCAGTACAATACATCCGTCTAAATCACAGACTCCCCCACAGACTCGCACACAATCTCCTCTCTTTGCGCTCCTCCATTGCCATTTGTTTCCTTTTCTCTTCATGAGGAATGTCATTCCCTCTGTCTCCATGGAAAGCGCTGCCATTTGACCCCTATGAAAGGACCTTTCCACCATGCTGACATGACGGATCCAAGACTGTCGAATCACAGAGCCGCTTAGTAAATGTCACGGGGCCAACACAGCTAACAAGCAGCAATAGAGATGTTTCCAAACTCTATCATCATGTTCTTCCAGCAGAGTCTCAGAGGATGATGTAATTTTGAAAAACAGCACTTCACACGTGCTCCGCTACTAATGTAGTTGTGATTCTTGTAGCATCTCCGGCTAATCTTACATTTTGACTCGAGAGGACCATGAATGAAGTTCTCCTTCGGCTGATAGTAGGCCTTTTTTGCTGCACATCTTCTCTGACATTGAGAAATGAAACTCAATTTTCCCTTGCTGCTCTCCTGAGGTGGAGAGGTCCCACTCTGATATTACACCTGCCTGAAAGCAGATAAGTGTGTGTATGTGTGTACTCTAGCTCAGCCCTCACGTCCTAATTTGTAAGGTTGCAAAGGGTTGTGGGGAGCATTTGGTGTAAACATATTGTCCTTTATTTTTATTTGGGGTACCGTTGGGTTGGCAGCCAAATGCCACAGGGGTCTGAAAGCTGTCAAACTTAACATGAATATGGAATCATTTCATAACACTCCATTCTCCCCTATGATCTGATGCTTGGAGAGATTGCCTCCTGTAATAACAATAACTGTGGCTGCACATCGCTGAAAAGCCCTGGCTGTCTTTGATATAAAAAGGAAGATTATACTGCAGAACAGCTCCAGATAAAGGCTCAATCAAGAGGCATTTGTTGCCATTCCCTCAGATGAGCAGTAATTGCAGCAGTGGACTCTCATCCTCTCTATTTTTCTGCCCCTCTCTCTCTATATATATCCAAACCAATTTCCCAAAGCAGCACTTCTTTCCAGCACGAGCTCTCAGGTACACCATGGATCCGGCGCTGCATTAATTAGGATTCTGTTCATCTAGATTAATCCATCTTTAAAACTAATAGAATGCTAATGCAATTAGACCATGTCTGCAGAATGTGATGAATGCATGACTGGAAAAGCAAAAGCGTAAGGTCCACTTCCCTCAAATTCCTCTGATTAAATGACCTAATAGAGTCGGATTTCCAAGTGTTAATCCAACTCGGTTTGACACCCCACCACAGAGCGGAAAATTACGAGTAAACAGAGCATGGGCAGCAGTTTAGAGCAAGTCCTCATGCTTTTAAATGGTGGCTGCAAAGGTTATTTGCAGGAATGGAAAGTCTATTAAATTGATGGATGTTGTAAATAGTGTGTGTGTGTGTGTGTGTATATGTGGAATTAGGTTTTATGATTAGAATTATTTTTATATAGTGCATAATCTGGTATTTTAGATGCTATAACCGGAATTACAGTGCCATTCAGTGTGGCTATTGTTAATATACCAGAAAATCTTGTCAGTCATATTTAAAACAAGAATCTTTTTGACACAAAAAACACTCTAATTAAGATCCAAAATATGAGTTAGATGTTTTTTTAGTGTTATTTTAAATATTTTTTTTTCTTTTTTCCTTGTCAGCAAGATTTTTAAAAACATTTGTAATAATATAAAAATATATGTAATAATATTTTTATGTTTTTATTTAACTTTTTTATTATTTATTGTGATATTATCAAATTTTAATTTGGTGCAAACACTAAAATTGTACATTTTATCTATCATCAATATAGATTTTAGATTTTTATTAAACGTCAAATGTTCAATTGATATCAGTTTAGTTGTTGTATTTGTATGTAATAACAGTGGTCTTTTTGCAGGTGTTCTTCAGAGCTGGTGTTTTGGCTAAGCTGGAGGAGAACAGAGATATCCAGACCAGACGCAACCTCACCTTGTTTCAGGCTGCATGCAGAGGTTACCTGGCCCGACAGGCCTTCAAAAAACGAAAGGCAAGTCTGCTTTACCTCATAAAAAAAGTATTTGTACATAAATGATTTACAAAATGCATTCCCATGAAACATTTAAACCATTTTTAGCCAACTGGTTGCTTAAAAATCTTTCACTGGTTGCCACAGAAGCTAAGCAGGGTTAGACCTGTGAAGTACCTGGATTCAAGACATTCTGAGATCAGTAGTTTCTTGCTGGAAGGGATATTTGAGAGGCCTGTAGGGGTGCTCACCCAGCAGTCTGTGTGGGTCCTATAAGGCAAAGTGTCCTCCCAAGCTTGTTTCCAAAGCTGAGCGTTTTTTTTGCTTGTTTTTTTTCTGTTATTGTCAATGGAATCATTTTACAGTACATTCATCACTGAGTGCTCAGCATTTTTAAAAAGCTAATTTTTAGATGAGTGCTGGTATTTTCAGTTGCACAAAAATGCTTTGGTGGACACATGCCCTAATCCCCCAATCAAATGATGGGGACTGTAATCAGTCCTTAATTTGTGAATTGCGAGGTCCCGGAACAGATCAAGGTAATATATCCGCCATGTTACCCGAGGATGTAGTGGTGTCGTGGATAAAAGTGTAGAGCGGGGTAGGGTTGAGGGGTGTTGGATGGCTAAGCGTTAAAAGTGAAGAGGGTTGGGGAGTCATGGAAGAAAGTAAAAGTGAACAGCGAATAGAGGAGGAAGGCGGTTGAGGAGGAGGTTTTGGTAAAATTATTCAAAAGGTGCCGGATCTGGATCTGGCTTGTTTCGGCACAAATTATGCCCTGACTGTAATAAGAACTGCCCTTCGGGGAATATTACTTTGAGATCCCAACTCAACCCAATGGTGCTTCTCACATAAAGTAGGGGTGTAACTTGTCTCCTGGCCAAATTCCCGTGATTGAACCAAACAAGGCCTCTTAATAATTCTGATCTTTTAAAATGACTCTATCATCCTCTGCACATATAATGTCATGAAGGTGAGCTCATTGGCATCATTGGTCTTTGCAGCGGTGTCGCAGATACACTCAAAAAAAAAATTTTGCTGCTAGTTCAAACTACATATTTATAATAAGCTGAATCAACACAATTCTTGAGGGTTTTTGTGTGATAACTTAATTGTTTTATGTTCAATGAACTTAAATTTGTTAACAGTAACTTAATCAATTTGTGTAAAGAAAACATGAAGCAATTGTGTGGAACCCTGCATTTTTTACCGTGTAGAAGGAAGAAGAGGACAAAGTGCATTGAACCCAGAGATGTGCGACGAAATCTTCTGAGACTATTGTAAACTACTTTAAATGTACGTTACACTGTACATTTGTTTTCTGGAAGTGTTTTGTGTTTTCAAAACTTCTGTCCCTCTCTCAATGAGACCTCTCCTTGCTCGAGTTCATTTGTCATGAGGTTTGTCTCAGAGTCCATCAGAATGTCATTGCTGTCTTGAGAAAATCCCTCTGGCCGTGGCCTCTGCTGACAGATAACATTCAATCAGCGCATCTCCAGGGAAGAAGCCACCTGCCCCGCTGCCCTCCATCGCAGGCCTATCGATTCTCTTACCACTGTGTGCCCTGCACTCTTGCCTTCCCCCTTTCTGCCCATTAATTTCAGCTCTGCCACTCACTCGCTTTCTTTTTTAAGTTGAAGCCTTGTATTCCACCCTGTTGTCTCTTAGTTTGTTTCGGTCTCCCTTTGAATCTGTCATGCTTTGTACTGGTCTCTCATTCTCTCATGCTACCCTCAGTGGGATTGGCTCAGGATGTGAGGGCCAGTCCTACAGTTGCCTTTGCCTCTGTCTCTCTCTCTCTCTCTTTCTCTCTTCTAAGAAGAGTGGGCCCCTGTCTCGATAAAGTTCATGTGAAGGGAGGAGGTGGGCTCAATGCTACTTTCTTGCACCGCTGTTGGCCATTGGTGGTCAGCTGCCTTGGCAATACAACTTCATCAACATCCACTTCCTCTTTCACCATTGCACACAAACAGAGAAGGCTTTCCTTGGCACAACTTTGTTTTCAGTTTGCCTCAGAGCTCCTGACAGGAGTCAACACTGTTTGCTGGATGTTTTGCTGTAAGTAAAAGAAGCTTGAATTCGTTTTTTTGTGGGGTGTTGTTGGTATTGTAGATGTTAGACGTGTTGTTTTGGTTTTTCAGATCTTATGTGAAGTTCTTTTATTTCAGTTGTTTTAGCAGGACTCTTTGTAAACGTTGTTTTGCAATACTGATTTATTCTTGTAGGCAAGCTGCTTTATAGCTTTTGCCATCAAAGGTGTCTTGAATACTTTTAGTTTTGTTTGGTTTCTTTGACTAACATTTGGAGTAAGGATTGAGGCTTGGCATAACTGTAATTTTCTGCTTTTTGCACAATTATTCTCTTCACAAAGAGCCTTGTCTTGATGCCTCAGAATCACAGTGACCTGTCCCCAGAGGAATTTATTTCCTTAGAAAGAAATCTTTTGTCTAGCATATCAGAAACCTGTGCTTTACGCTAGACTGAGAGATCAGTCTTGGGATTTGTATTGCACTGCTCCTGTAGAAAGTGGGTCATAACCTCAGACACCCATGCACTTGTCAATGACTGTATAGTAAATAATGCTGGAGCATTCTTTTTAGGGAAATCTCTAATCTATTTACGTGACTGGATACAAACTACAGCACACAGATCTGTTTTGAATTGCTAAATGCAGCATTAGACTGATAACAAATAAAACATTGTCCTGAAAGTGTGTGGTAAGAAACTGAATATACTGAATGAGTTGTGTATGGGGCGTCACGGTGGTGTAGTGAGTAGCACGATCGCCTCACAGCAAGAAGGTTGCTGGTTCGAGCCCCGGCTGGGTCAGTTGGCATTTCTGTGTAGAGTTTGCATGTTCTACCCATGTTTCCATGGTTCCCATGCTTTGGACAATAACTGTAAAGTAGTCATCACCTTCTAAAGCAGTGTGTGAAGTTTGCTGGTAATTGATTTCAATTTAGTGTCTAAAAAACATGCAAAAATATCTCAAAAATGTTTACTGGTGGATTTCTTTAGCAAACTAATTCTTCAACAAGTCTTAGTCTTTCCAATGACATATAGTTTGTCATGATTAGGATTTAATTGCAAAAATAATTATGTAAACTTGTGTGTCACGGTGTCACAGTGGGTAGCACGATTGCCTCACAGCAAGAAGGTCGCTGGTTCGAGTCCCGGCTGGGCAAGCTGACGTTTCTGTGAGGACTTTGCATGCTCTCCCTGTGTTGGTGTGGGTTTCCTTCAGGGCTCCAGTTACCCCTACACTCCAAAGACATGACTTGAATAAGCTAAATTGTCAGAAGTGAATGTGTGTGAGTGTGTATGGGTGTTTCCCAGTGTTGGGTTGCAACTGGAAGGGCATCTGCTGCATAAAACATATAAGTTGGCAGTTCATTCCGCTGTGGCCACCCCTGATTGATAGGGACTAAGCCGAAAAGAAAATGAATGAATGAATGAATGAATGAATGAATGAGTTGTGTATAAGCATGTTGAGAGTGCACATACAGTTTGTTTGCACGTCAATACCAGACTCATGCATGCCTACTTTACAGCTCCTGTACATCACAGAAGTATTCTCTACCTTAATGGCATCCCTCATGTCTAAATGGGACTATTGAGCTTGTCTTTGTCCAAAAGAGAAGTGCAGCTTTCGGCTCACCTGCCACATTCTGTGGTGCAATGGTTTTATGTTCCATTCAGACTGTATTTAACACCAAACTAATGCATGAAGGTTTGCATTCTTCAGCACCAATAAAAATATATGACAGAGCACAAAGTAAACACATTTAAAATATATAAAAAATATGTATATCTCAAATAATTCCCTTTTTAATCCTATTTATGCAAAAAACTTGAATATTGAGCTGTTCACCCACATACATAACTGGAAAAGTATATTTGAATAAATTCAGATTTGAACAAATTGAACTAATATCAGTGGTTTTACATGATGTCTCTAGATATTTCTTCCTATCTGTTGTTTTGTTTCTGGCTCATATATAATCTTCAAATTGAACCAGTAGTCTGATAATTAGGTGTCTGTCTATATAAGGCTACAAGGAACCCTGACCTAGTGAAGAAAACAGTCTTAGACTTTAGAATCTCAGTATCATATCCTCTTCTGAATCTAAAAGCTGAATGGAAAATGGAAGTGGAAAGACCTGAGTGCGTGATGATGCCGTTTCTGTTTTGTCGGATACATTTAACAATGTCAAGACAAGAAGCGTTGAGTAGAATCGTTACGGCAGATTCCTGAGAGACTAACGTGTGAGAGACCAAGCTTCCTCTCTCAAACCACAGCTGCCACAATGCAAAATCAATTTGCTTGTTTCTCTCTCAGATCGATAATGGAGGGATCTCAGCACCTTGAAGTCTGTTCCCGTTTTAGCGGTGTGTTCTAAGCCCTCGGTCCCTTTGGATTTCTCTGTCTTTTCTTTCTCTTTTCTTCTGTTTGTCTCTGTGGGGGGGCGTCTGAACAGAGAACGTCTCCACGTGGGCTTCCTTTGAAGCACGCCGGCCCGTTCCTTCCAAATTTTCCTTTGACGTTCAGCGAAAACAACACTAGAGGGAGCTGGGAATTTCACAAATGCCAATCGTGTGTCTAATTAACTCATCGCCTAAAGACACGAGTGTAAACAGGTGCCCTCGCCGACACATGTGACTGCGCTCCAATGTCCTCCCGTTCTTGCGTGCGGATGAAAACCACATGCTGATCCGTATTCAAATTCACACACCTGTTGGAGAGACGTGTGACTGACATTTGAATTCGTCTCCATTTGCACGTAACATTTAGTTCCCCCTGCCAGGCCTCAGGGCTCACAGGCATCATTTCCTCCAGACGGCCATTTTAATTAGGAAGCTCTTCCCGATTTCGTCGTCTCTTACAAGCTGTTTAGATGGCTGTTTGTGGCATTTGTTGTGGTCAAAGCGTGGCAAATGAGCTGCGGTGCATATGTCGGCCACGCGCCGCCTCTGTTCTGTGCCGAAGGTTTCTCGGCGTGACAAATTAGACATAGCCTGGACTGGATGCACGCAGACTCGGGCCTGTTAATGTGCTGAATCGGGCCTGTCTAATTGGGTTTCCAGATAATCCCCTATTATTTGAATCGTCCCTGTTCCTGCAGCATGTAAATCTTACGCAGGGTTTAAATCAGCTGCCAAGTAGTATTGAAGTTTAATTGAATTACTCAAAGGAGCTCGGGGCTTTTGCTTCTAGCTGCATTTTCTACACAGTTGGTAGGACTCCAGAATCACTCCTTTGTATTGCCTTTGTGTCGGCCTCCTTGAAGAGAACGTGTTTGTTTTCTATTTTATTCTTTCTGTGATCAACACCATTAAATGGGTGTTTTGCTGAGGGTGAGTATGTGAGGCGTGTTAACGTCTGCTTGATAAAGTACAAAAACTCTGTTGTGCAGAGAAACGCATCCCTGCCGTAAAATGCACCCGCTCTGAAAATTGCATCAATTAACTGAAATTGATTTAAAATAACAATAATAGAGTTATAAAACTAATGAGAGTGACTAAGGTGAGTTTCATGAAGGAACCCTTCCCCCAAAGAAGATAAAAATATATAAATAGATGGACTTTAAATACCGTACAGATGAGATTATGAATTGTTTTATGTGTGGTTAATTTAAAAAAGAAACAACAATTTAATGTGTTCCATGTGGCCTAAATGTCTATTTAAAACACATAAAAAACTAACTAAAAGCCTACACTACAGCCAATATTATTGTTGTACTTTTATTTGTAAACCTAGTGCATTTTAAAATGCGTTTCACTTCTTGTCCTTGTTTTATCCATCAAAACAATCCCCATTTACGTTTTAATCAATTATGGCCTTTGATTTATTTATTTTTTTTAGAGAATGCTAATGAAAGTTTATGAAGGGGTGCATTTTCTGGCAGGGGTGCGTTTCTCGGCACAACAACTTTCTTTTTTGAAAGTTTTATCTGTTTAATAAATAAAATGAACAAATATATACCTTTAATTTTAAATATAACTTTTTATTTTATAAATGCTAGATTTGTAGATTATATTCATATATCATTTTGTTTATACATTAATTTTATTAATAAAAACATTCTAAATATTACACTTTATTTTCATTGCAAACATTATTTCGGAATATACAATTACATTAGATACAAATACAATGACAATATTCAATAAGTAAGCTTAAAAAACACTTTTCCTTTAAACTGGCACATATTTATCTCGTATTTAATGCTAACTTCTTGGCTCTACAGTTTGATTGTACCTCTCTAGATGTTCATAGCATGTAATCCTTCAGGAAACCTTGGATTTAAGAGTCCCACCCTCGGGCTTATTGACCGCACTGTAGACGACAGTCTCTGATCTGAAAAGGTTCATTCAGAGCCGGTTCCCTCAAGGGAAGCTCTTTGACCATGGGGCCCTGCGCCTCCAAACACAGGCCTGCTATTGTCCATCTGGCCTCTGATTGGTTTCAACTGTACTTCACAAGCTCCAAACCAAAATACCTGCTCTATTTCTCACCAGTTGGAAGCACACATATAATCATAAATGCTTGTGTTTTTCAGATCCAGGACTTGGCGATCCGCTGCATCCAGAAAAACATCAAGAAGAACCGTGGCGTGAAAGGCTGGCCCTGGTGGAAGCTCTTCACCACCGTCCGTCCCCTCATCGAAGTTCAGCTCACTGAGGAGCAGATCCGCGGCAAAGACGTAAGCATTTCTCCGCCAGCCACTTTAAATGATCTAAATCGCAATGTCATGTTCAGGTTTTTACCTTTTGACAATTGAAAGCCCATCTGTGTGGCTTTTAATGCCCCTCCTAGTTTCTCCACCCTGCGGGGATCCCTCTCAAATTCAACTTCAGCACCCAAAGCGCCCATCTCTTTGATTACTGTCTCTGCAGCTTCGCCTCAATCCCAGTGTTTGTAGATTTATGTGTGTGCGTGCTTGTGGCAGCACTGTGTGCATGCATACATTACCTATGTAGCTGCTGGATCAAAAGCAACTGTGCTTGCCGCAGGGGAGTGCATTAGCATGTCACAGAGCGAGTGTGTGTGCATTTCGTCCGCTAGGCCGCATCCCGCTGAGTGCTGCGTAGCCATGCAGTCAGACGTACTCCCTGCGAGAGACAGACGGGTGCTGACACTGCCTCCAAACAGCCAGCTTTTAAAAAAACAAACACAGAGTCACTATCTCCTCTGCACAAACAGCCTTCAGAGCTGCAAAACGATTGGCTGTAGCAGACGATTCTCTCAAGTTACCCAAAGAAAAGTTTTGGAAAGTGGGAGGAGGAGGTGGTTTGGGGTAATAGTCGATGTCTGTCATTCTGCGTTTCTAATTTATCTCACCTGCCTGTCTCTATTCTTTGCTAAAAATAGGGGCTGTCATCGTGTCCCAATGAGTGATTGTCTGCGGTCATTTCTCTGTATATCAGCTGAATTTCGTGACACCCTATGTTTCTGTCTGTGGTATTGTGGCGTTCTGAATATTGGTGGTGTGTCTTTAGGAGGAAATTCAGCTGCTCAAGTCGAAGCTGGAGAAGGTAGAAAAGGAGAGGAACGAGTTGAGACTCAATAGCGACCGGTTGGAAAGCAAGGTATGTGCTGAAGTCACAGTGTTTATGCTGTGATTTACTATATTACACAGTTGCATGCTCATTCATTGCAATTGATACCAACATCAGTGCAATTGTATTATTATTATTTTTTAAAATATAATTTTCAAGTTAAGTTGAGCTTTATTGTCATTCTGCTACGTGTTTGAACCTACAGAGGAACAAAATATCATGTCTCGCAGGACAATGATGCTACATAGATTAATCATAAATACAAACACAGCACTGGACATAAGAGCTATGAAGCAACCTTAAATACCTCTTGCACAATATTAAAGCTTAAATTATTTGAATTAAATTATTTTATATTAAACGAAATTTTTTAAATAAACATCAATAACAAATGGGTTATAATAATAATAATTGCTTGGTTTAGGACTTGTGGAGCTGCGCATTGATGGATTTGCTCTTCAGTGTTAGGGCTTTCAGTGAAAATTAAACCACACTGAACTGAACAAAACTAAATTTCTGCTCTGAAAACTGGACTGACACAGTTTTAATTTATTAGAACTTCTATGTTAAGCAGCTTTGACACAATGTTCATTGTTAAAGCACTATAGAAATAAAGATAAATTGAATTATAATTAAGGGTCAGACAGAACCTGCGGTCATTTTTTAACTATTTCTGCTCTGAATTTTGTAAAAAAATCTTTTTTTGCAGAATGATTTTGGTAGTATAGTAACTAAAAACTTAATTTATGAACTTTTGTTAAAATGTTTTATTAAATTTGGTGAACAAAGCAAGTCCCTCATATAGTATATCTACTAAAAGACAGAAATTATTACTTTACAAACTGTATTGTAAATATATCATATGAACATTTTCATATTAGCTAATAATATTGCTGAAAAAAATTGAATAAATGAAAACTGAAATAAATATAAATTTACACACATTTACACAAGTTAACAAATAGATTTAATGATGGGCTAAAAAATCGGTGTGCGCAGATTCCGTGTGGGCCTAGTTGTAATGTAATGAAATAAATTAAGAAAACTATTAATATTGTTTTAATTTGATAGAGAAATATGTATGTTTAAAATGTTATATAAACAGCATTAACTAATGGGTTTTAATGTAATGACATCAATTATTAGGAATTATTAGGAAAACTTTATACTGCATATTGATTTGTGGCTAACATAAATATCTCTTTAAATAAAATCTAAATCAGTTATTTGTGCAGCATAATATAAAATATTTAAATTTCCTTTATTGTATAATATACCATATATGCTGCAATTATACAGCAATATGATCATTATTATTCCAATGAACAAAATGATTGTTCTCTTGGCACTAAAAAGCATTACAGCAAATTAAGAATTAATCTAAACAATTAATGTAACAAATTAATTAAAGTTCACAACAATATTAAGTTTTCAAGTGAATGATAATGAATAACAAATCAACATCAACTACATATTAAATACATAACACTGCTAATAAATTCTATAAATAAACTTAATCAACTAAGAGGTATTTTCTTTCTTCATACAAATGATTAAACAAATCAGCTAATGTAATAAACTGGTCTATTAGAATAAATTGACACTTCAGGTTGCAATCTAGAAATCTGTATTTGATAGATACAGTATGCCTTTCTGCTGTTGTTGCTCAATATGATAGCATCCTTCATTAAATGAAGCACATGATAGCATAGGCATTCTTGATAAAGTTCCTACTTTAAGGCAAGACACGTTTATTTATATAGCACATTTCATACACTGTGGCAATTCAAAGTGCTTTACATAAACAGGAATAAAAGAGACAAGTAAAAATAAAATAGAAACAAATAATATGAAAACAGCGTAAAGACAGTTTTTCCATATTCTAAAACACCAGTGTATCATATTTTCTCATTTTAGTCTGTGACTCCCCATTCTGGTGATCATCCCCCCTTTGAGTACTTTTTCGGTACCTATTAAGTACTAAACATACATTCACAGTACGGTTACGTTCCTACAAAAATCTAGGGGTTAAAAATAAATAGAAACAAACAAATGAAGAAAGAAGGGAGCGTATTTTAAGTGAACTGCCACTAGATCCAGAATTATCAGACAACAACACATTCTTGATCAACTTTTTGATCACCATCAATTATTTTTGTTTATCTTTTTTTATCGGAAAAATAAATAAGTAAATTAAATTTTAAAGGACATTATACAAAAACAAAAATAATACCTCAGGATATGGGAGTCCAAAATAACAATCAAAACAGTCCAATAACTAATTTAAAGGCAAACTATCTTTCCCAACAAATAAAAATTCCAGAAGAAAGAAAAATATTGGAAAAATCTGACAATGCAATATTTTGGTTTGCTGCAAAATAAATATTGTGATATGAATATAATTTGACCAGATGATTTAAATAGCTCTTTTCAAAAAGATTTGATTGGTCACACTTTACAATCAGGTTCATTAGGTAAGGTTAAGTAATGCATTTACTAACATGAACAAACAATGAACAATACAACTACTACACTATTTAATCATTTTGATAATCGTTAGTTAATGAAAATACAGTTGTTCATTGTTAGTTCATGTTAACTCATGGTGCATTAACTAATGTTAACAAGCATGGACTTGAATGTTATTAATAGATTAGTAAATGTTCAATTATGATAAATAAATGCTGTACAAGTGTTTTTCATGAATGGTTCATGTTAGTAAATACATTAACTAATGAACCTTATTGTAAAGTGTCACCATATAATGTAATTTAGATTGACTGGGATTATCAAGACTTTTTCTATGTGGTGCATTTGCATTAAATGTAATAAATTAGAAGAATATAAAAATATGACTATAAAGAGATTTTCTATGGAGTCTGACAGTATTCAAATACAAAAAATTAAACAATCAAACGCAAAATAACAGTCATCATTGCATACATGTAGACAATAATATAAAAATAATATCTTTATCCTTTAATCTTTAATCAATTTTCTAATCCTGACTATTGCGGATACATTGCAATATCGATGCTCAAACACTATATTGTTCAGCCCTAGTTCACAGTATATACAAAATCACACCATTACACCCAAACACAGTCACAGAAACCCACATCTCTCACTATCAGCATTGGACTGTTACCAAAATACCATCATCTCTGTGTGAAATATGTGAGCGATGATATAGATGTGAAGTGTTGCATGTGGATGCGAGATGAGCTCATACACTACACTGAAGTTTGCATCTAGTACACACACACCTCATGTTTGCCTCATTATTTTTATATTTCAGATCACAGAACTGTCATCAGAGCTTGCCGATGAGAGGAACACTGGCGAATCTGCCTCGCAGCTGCTGGAGTCCGAGACCTCGGAGAGACTGAGGCTGGAGAAAGACATGAAGGATCTACAGGTACAACACACCCACACACTTCAGAACAGATTCAGAGTTTTGACTTTTCTGTAAGGAATCTCCTCATGCCTGAAATAGATATTTTCTGGCAATGCAGTCCAAGCAGCAGAGCATGAGCCGTATACAAATTTTGTCATCTTGCATTAAATATCTATGCGAAAGATGTAGTGTGTGAGCGAGTGTCTGCAGGTATTTGTCTGTGTGTGGTGTGTTTTATGTGTCTTCTAGGCTCAGAGTTGCCTGTGTGAGCAGATGGTCTGGGTATTTCCCTGTAGAACAGTGAGCTGATGTGCTTTGCGTCCCTCTGTGTGTGTGTGTGTGTGTGTGTGTGTGTGTGTGTGTGTGTGTGTGTGTGTGTGTGTGTGTGTGTGTGTGTGTGTGTGTGTGTGTGTGTGTGTGTGTGTGTGTGTGTGTGTGTGTGTGTGTGTGTGTCAGGCCAAGTTTGACGCTATGAAGAAGCAGACAGAGTCTATGGAGATGGAGGTAATGGAGGCACGGCTAATACGCGCATCGGAGCTCAACGGGGAAATGGATGACGATGACACTGGTGAGTTTGTGGTGGCATTTCCTGGAGTGAGCAAAGTCAGAAATGCAACTGTTTCCACCTGGTATCAACATGCATTTCAAGTGATCCACTTACAAGCGTTTCTAGCAGGTATTAACATTCATTCAAAACCCGTGTGTTTGGGTTTTGTTGAGACTTTTTCCGCTCATTACGTCACAATCTACAGGCAGGGGTTCGGGTGGTTTGAAAGACCCACCCCTCACTTACAAAGGGCCAGAATTTGTCCCATACAACAACGCTTCTGTACAGTGTACGCTTCTAGAGCCTACAGCTAATCAATCTGTCAGATTATGAAGTGCATTCAAGTTCTAAAGAAAAATATAAATGATGAATGATCTTAAATAAAACAAATACATTTATAGATATGGTGTAACTTTACTCACATGGGAAACGGAGGCCACGTGAATGGTTTGTAAGCACAATTAAGTGCACACAGCATCCCATATCATCTGATAATTGTTAGAAATAAGTCCAAAAGGCAACTGACTGTGTAAAGCACAATAAAGCAAAACAAAAAATAATGAATATGCCGAGTTCAGTGGCTAATCTGCCGGAGTCAGCTGAGGTGAAGTGACGGCTACCAGCGAGAGCTAGCTGTCACTCTAGTAGCCACGCCCTAATTATGGAAACTTAATATAGCCTAATATAAAGGAAAGGGATGAGTTGTCATGAAGGGTAATATTAGCTTTATGAACCAAAATCGCTCCTTGTACCAGGATTTTCTGTTGTAAAGTTGGCCATTCTAACAGTGGGCTCAATTAAAATTTGCTCTATTATGGAGCCAGGACTAGCGGAATTTCGATGAATTGCAGTTTCAGTTACTTCCGTATTGGCTTCCCGAGGTAGAGCGGGAGGTTGCCGCTTAGTCTTCTCATGTAGGAGGTATTGTAATTCTGGCTTTAACTGTATGCCTGTTACAGTAATTGATAAATCAACATATCGCACAATACATTGACATGACCTCGGTATTTTTTAGGTGACACAATATATATCTCCCATCATATTTACATAAAAATAAATGTCAGCATCATTTGATCTGATTGTACAGCCTCATCCATATAATCTCTGTTGGAGGTGTCTGAGAGCTCAGGGAACTCCTTTAGAAACGATGTTTACTGACAAATTCTTACATTTTCCTGAAAACTGCTGAATCTTTGGAAGAAGTTGAGCTCTGTTTCAAAGCCACAAAGTGACAAAGCAAAATGGCACACTTTCACAAATAACATTAAAGGACATTTACATTGGACATCTCTGATGTCGATGTTTATATTAGGGCATTTACTTTTACAGAATCTGAATTATAACTTCTAAGCCTGTCTTAAAATGGCAATAGTATTATTATTATTTATTGCAATAATTTTTGGAAAAAATTTAATCCAGTATCACACAACAAATTAACTTATCGTGACAGGCCTAAATCTACACTGAATTTATAGGGTAGCTCAGCGCACTATTCTTACCACTAGTCTTGCATATTTTAAATTTGAATTTTTGCTGTTTGAACATTCAACTACATACGCTCCGTCACTAACTGCATATAAATGAACAATTTTACTGGTATAGTCAAATATTGGGCATTATGAGGATATTTGGCATGGCATGATTCCTTTGTGCATTATTAAAAATGCTCGCTGTGTCCTGCCTCTCCTCCTGAATTTACATCATAAGACTAAACCATCCAAAATGCTTTGCATAATCATACTATTAAAACTAAATGCGATGTGGTGATTTTAATTTTACACTTTTACTTCGCAAAGTACCACTCCAGCATGCACGCTCTTCAGATGATCACATGCATCACGGTTCTAATAGCAAAACACATCAGAATGACAATTCCCAAACTTCAGAGCATTTCATTTCATACTTCAAAGTCAATTAAAAATGACAACTTAGTCACCGTCTTTTCATGCGCAAATGTCTGTGTTTAGAACAGCATGTGCGTTGTCAATCTATTATTTTATAAATCCAGCAAGTCTCTTGAGAACATCTTGGATTTAGATTAAACTGCTCAATTGATTATCTTTATGTCTTTATGAAATAATTTAAATATATTAGGCTTCAGGGGAATTGGCTTTCTGAATGGAACAGAAATCAATCAGGTTTCATTAAAAAATGTCCCATTTGAATTTAGAAGATGAATAAAACAAGTTTAAAAAGACACGAGAGTGAGTACATGATGACAGTTTTAGAATGACTTTACCTTCTAAATACAGTAAGATGTGTCTGAAAAAAAAGTAACTCTACCTAACCAATCACATTATTCACATTAATGCTACAAATTGTTACATTTAGTCTAATGTGTACAAGCTTAAAGCTTTTAGACGGTGTTTAGTTTCCCTCATCTGTGGTTGGATTGATAAAAATGCATTTTGATGCCAGCTGTAAATGGGACCTCAGAAAAGGGATTCCCTCCTGATGGCTGAGCTTTGAGCGAAAACTATCAGAGCCTTCCTGAATGGTTTTGGCAGAATTGAAGGGTTATCTGGGAGGATTTCCCTGAGTTTGGCGGCCCATGACTCTCTGGTGAGGAGTTGAGCTTCAGGTGTGCTGAGCGGTTCAGCTTGGCACCTCCAGACAAATGAGAAAATAATCTGTAGCATCAGAGCTGCTGCTCCTCATTAAGCTGTTTATATGGAAATGCCAGGGGGCACTGAAAACACCAAACACGCGCTCGCTCTCTCTGTCTCTCACCCCCTCTGCTTTTCACTCCTTTATACTGTTTCTGGAACTTTCCATGTAGAGAGAAAATTCTCTATTATTGTTTTTTGCTTTAAGAGTTATTAAATATAATCTAGCATAAAATTAGCTTAGAATGTTTTTAAAACCTTCACCTTAGAGGTTTTTACATTCTTGACTGTACCAAACAATTAAATGTACCAAACAATCACTCTAATGAACTATTTTAAAATAAGAAATATTTAGTTATCAGTAATTGTAAACCAACAGTGAGACAAAAACTAGCTAATGATATCTTAATTTGCAACCCTGTATTAATTTTGATGTGTATTTATTTATAAGCATAAACTGTATGTGTATTGTATATAACATGGTAATACTTTACAATAAGGTTGTATTAATTAGTTAATGCATTTACTAACATCAACCAACAATGAACAATGCATTTAATACAATATTTGTTCCTGTTAGTTAACATTAGTTAATGAAAACAGTCGTTCATTGTTATGGTGCATTAACTAATGTAAAAAGCATAAGTTTGGATGTTATTAATGCATTAGTAGATAGCGATTATTAAAAAATGTTGTACAAGTGTTGTTCATAATTATTTCATGTTAGCAACAAAACCTTATTGTAAACTATAATATAATATAATATAATACGTGACCAATATCATACAAGTAGCAGTTCGATATGGCTGTATATCGGCACTGGTGGGAGGCATGCGTTGGTTTGAGTCTGCAGGCTGAGTGCCTTAGTTCCTCCCACCTGTGCCAATATACAGCCATATTGCATTGCTACAAGATCTTTGTCACCATCTTGTGGCGGAACGTCAATCGTCACTTTTTTTGGTCTGCTCAGACAGGCTGATGATGGCCGATGCACTGAATCCGATGCTCTGAAATTATAAATATTTAAAAATAGGCATTATCCTTATAATAATCTGCATCGTTGCAATTCTAACAACTACATAATTAACTAAAAAGCCTAAAAAAAGACTAAAAAGACTAAAAAATGTTGTCCAACAGCAGCAATATTTGTTATACTGTAGAGTGACTTTTGCTTGTCGCTGTATGTGGGTGGAGTAATACACAAGGGTAAAGGGTGAAGAGGCTGTACTAGTGCTGTTATTTGCAGAATATCAGATTCAAGAACCAGACAGAACTGTTGTATAAAATATAATATATCATGTGGCACTGAAGACAGAGGTAAAGACACCTCCTAAAACACCTCCTAAAAATCCAGCTTTAACAGCACAGGAGTAAATTTGATTTTAATATTGGTTAAAAAATAAATGGTTTGAAACGGCATCTCTTTAGTCAATAGCAGTATTGTGAAATAATGTTATTACAGCTTTAGTAAGCAAGCATAGACTTATTTTAAAAACATAAAAAGCCATAACCCTGCTAATGTCATGTAAAGGACAGAGTGCAAATAAATACATCTTGGATTGTTGGGTTTTTAGTTTACTTTGATCTAAGGCTGACAATCATAAAGCATTATTATTTGAAGGTTAAGCACTTCTTTTCATTGTAAATGTTTTGAAAAAGGGGAACAATGACTCTTAGCCATCACTAAGACTCTATTCCTGGAAAGTAACTTCCAGTTCTTCCACAATCTGACTTCCTTTTCGTCTGTCCCTGTCGCAGTCTATAATGGTGTTCTCAGTGAAAGCCTGAACATGATTATATTCAGTAGTGCCTTTCCTAGAATCTCCGCTATCATGAACAAAGCTCAATTTAATGCGTATGTCACACTGGTGACGGCTTGTTCTCACCTCTGTGTCACCCAGCTGATCTCTCAGGCTTAATGCTAAGCCACGCACATTTGATTTATTCTACTTTTCGGCAATTACATTCTCTTAACAGTGACGTGGTGGGACCGGCTCGGCTCTGCGTTTTGTTATTGCTGATGTCTGTGTTTCAATGCAGTTCATTGAACTGCTTTGATTTATTAACGTGTGTATTTACGTTTTTCTGTTCTTCAGTGATAGATTCACAAAATGGGATTTTGTAATGAAAAGGATTAGAGTAAAATGTTTAAACCTCAGATCTTTTCAGAGAGACAATCCTATTGCAATTACGATATAATTTAACCGCATTATGATAAACATTTGACATCTCAAATTGCTCCACGAACTTCAAGTGCACTGAACCTGTTGAGAGAGAGTACTTGTATTATGCGCAGCAGACAAAACAGAGTACTTCGCTTTGAAGCACTGTCATTTTTATTTAATTAAATTGCAGCGTTTTGCAGCTGAGTAATCACAGAAGGCCATTTCACAATAAATTGGGCTGCCTTAATCATGACTGACTGACTGTGTTTGAAGGAGGAGAATGGAGGCTCAAGTATGAGAGAGCCATCAGAGAGATCGAGTTCACCAAGAAGAGACTCCAGCAAGAGTTTGATGACAAACTAGAGGTGGAGCAGCAAAACAAGAGGCAGCTGGAGAGAAAAGTAAGGACTACTCACCCACACATTGTTGGTTTTATTTAGATTTTGTTAGCTCCTACACTTTTTCCAGCTTCTACATTTTCAGTCATTGCCAGCACAAGCAAGTCTGTTGAAAAGATATTGGTTTAATTGTTCTAGGTAGTTTCACCAATTTGTTTTACATTGTTTTGATTTACTTCGCTAGCATTTAAAACAATAGTTTTTAATATTTTATATGTACAAAACAGTTTGCAGTTTAACACTTTCCCCGCCAGTTTTTTAATGAGAAGTTGTGAGCCACTTCCAACAATTTTGATCATTGTATATAAATTTGTGCAAATTGTCAGCGTTCAATCATTCCATTGCGGCGACTCCTGATAAAGAAGGGAGTAACCGAAAGAAAGTTGAAAGTTGGGTTGACCGTTATCGACCTGTCGACGACACAGCTTGAAGCTTTTGTGTCTAAAGGGATCTCTTTAACCAACTTTATCATGATGAGATTTAGAATCAGTAAAAATATGAGCGATCAGAGTCAATGCCATTAATGCCCGCCTGTTCATCTGAATACCTCTTATATACAGAATACATCTGGGTCTGGTTGCACCAGCTGTTCGTAAGTTTTATTTTAACATGGAACGTCCACTTTAGAGGCTTAGTAATTACTAGCTAGTTTATAACTAAATTTGTTCTCACTTCGGTTGCACCACATGTTTATTAGACAAACCGTAGTTAGTAGGTCGTAAGCTCTTCGTAAAATCTTGTGTAGTTGCAATGAAAGTTGTAATATCCAATAAAAAGCATTTAAATCATTAAACTGCTTTAAAATTCTGCAACTAATGCATCTGAATCTGCATCTGAGAATGAAATTATAAATGATATTTTAATAGCACATTGAATTACAGTCAAACACTATTAACATACAACGCACACAGTTGCATCGCGAGCCGTGAATGCACGCAAAGTTATCAAAACATTAAACTTGAGTTTTTAATACCCTACTCATGAAAGAGAAAAAAGCAAGGAGAAGATTGTGTGTTTTATCTTCTCCCTTCTGGTATTCGATGCAGAACTCCTTTTAGTAAAACAAATCGGTTTAAACTTTCATTCATCCACTCAGCTGTAAAGTTTTAAAATTTAGGGTAGAATTTGTATTGTATAATGTGCTTTTGTGTATTATGAGTGACATGCTTGTATGTTGCAACCAAATTGCCTTCGGGAAATGAACAAAGACTAACTACATTATGATCGCGAGCTCTGCGATGTATACTAATCCCACCTTCATCTCTTTTCAACCGTTATACATGGGGAGGCTGCCATAAATATTTAGTTAGAACATAGCGTTACATTTAAACTAAGTTCAGTGGTGCAACACAGACATATTTAGTAGTGTGTAAGTTGTAACTTGGTGTCCCTTTAAATCACAACTAGGCTATATTTAAACTTGTGCACTGCTGGTGCAACCACTTGTCTATATTTTCTCTGATCATTTTTGTATTTCACACTCTGGAAGGCCCGAAGTCCTTTTACCATTCTGGGCTTTCGCTAAGATTTCCTTTACCATAAAACCCATGACTTGTTGATGTAAGGGAGCCCCTGTCTCCTAATTGACAAAATATTTATCATCAATGGTGGGGAAAGAGTTAATATCATACTGTATATTAGCTGCTGTTATTTTTTTTATCATACTTATGTCTAAATTGCGCATATTAAAAACAACAACTAATTAACTGTTGATGTTAAAAATTTACAATTTCTTACAAATTCAGAAATTGTCTATTGTGAGGTCAGCGTGAAGTCAGTGTTCTTGAAGCAGTTAAACTTACAGCTTTGCTATTAGTAGAGTCGCTGCTGCCAAACTCTTTTGAGAGACTCAGACATGTGTCATTCATAAACACTCCATCAAGTCAATTTGGATAACTGCATCTTAATGGCTCAAGCTTCTATTGCTAGCTCTAAAATTACATTTTAGAATTGGCAACAGAGGCTTGGGGTGAAATGTGTAAAACGTGTTGTGGTCATATTGATTTTCATGTAGTTTGGTAGAATATTGCCAAGACTACAAGATTGATTTCTCAAGAATGTGTTTTATGGCCTTGTTTCAGTGGCTCACCTCCCCCAAAACTACACATAGTATGTAATGTTGTTAAATAATATAACCATATACATCCACCTCGTTCACATAATATTGTAGGACAGTTTGTGCAGACCACTTTGGTTACATTTTGCTGATATATTTGTGGGGATAGCCAAAAATACACTGTATTCAGAATTACTGCATTTTGTTTTATGACAAAAATCAATTGAATATTTAGATAAACTCATGTTCTATAAAGACATTTTTAAAATTTGTTTTTGTAAATATATCCAAACAGACTTTTTGGTTATTAATATGCATCACTAAGAACTTAATTTGGACACTTTACAGGTGATTTTTTTTTAGTCTTTCAACTTTTTTATACATCAGATTCCAGATTTTTAATAGACATGTCTCAGCCAAATATTATCCCAACAAACTATATATCATTGCAAGCATATTTATTCATCATTTAGATTATTATTATTATTATTATTATTATTATTATTATTATTATTATTATTATTATTATTATTATTATTATTATTATTATTATTATTATTAGTGATAGTATTATTATTAATAATAATAATAATACAATTTTTCTGGTTTTGTGATCCAAGGTAAAAAAAATGTTAGGGCATGCCTAAACACACAGAGGGTCCCAAAACCACCTCAGACTCCTGACCTTACTTAATGATGTCTTATCAAGTAAAATAAAATGTCTAAAAATAAAAATAACATCTAAACACCCTGTTTTCTTAATACATTCTCAGCATCAGTTTCCTGTTATCCTGTTATCAGTTATACCTTAGATGGCGCATCCATGCAGTTGACTTTATTCTCCCAAGCTAACAAACATATAAAAGCCCAGACTTCACTCGTATTGTCAGTGTGTTCCAACTCAACAGCATGTACTGTCTCAAGCATGAATGTATTATCTGAAACTCACACGTCTAGACAAGATACTCAGTGGATGGACAGATCCACCTGTACAGACTCAATGAGAATCTTTGTGTTTAGCTGACAGACCTGCAGGCGGACAATGAAGAGGTGCAACGCGTGGCTCAGCAGCTGAAGAAGAAATGCCAGAGACTGACAGCCGAGCTACAGGACACCAAACTGCACCTGGAGGGCCAGCAGAGCCGCAACCATGACCTGGAGAAGAAACAGCGCAAGTGAGTCAGAGAAAGAGATTTACAAACATACAGTTGAGGAAATGGGTAACTACTCCTCTTACAGAGCATGTAATGCCACGGCAAGATATTTTGTTAATTTGTCTTTTTCAGTCATGTCAGGCTGTGATGAACCACCAACAGTAAATGAAAACACTTTGGTCCAAAATCCATTTTTTCAAAATGGTCTACTCATAGTGTTGGTTTTATTACAGAGTTGCTTATGTCTGATTCACAAGCTCTCAATTCCATTTTAGCTTCATTTGATTTAGAATTATTCAATATATCTGTAATGAGAACCATTTTGCTGACTTGTTCTGTCATAATGTGCACAGTTGAAGTCAGAATTATTAAACCACCTGAATTATTAGCCACTGTTTATTTTTTCCGAAGAAGAAATAAGAACAGAGAGAAGATTTTTTCAACACATTTCTAAACATAATAGTTTTAATAACTCATTTCTAATAACAGATTTATTTTATTTTTGCCATGATGACAGTAAACAATATTTGTCTAGACATTTTCAAGATACTACTATACAGCTTAAAGTGACATTCAAAGGCTTAACTAGATTAATTAGGTTGACTAGTCTGAATAGGATAATTTATTGTTATTGTATAACGATGGTTAGTTCTGTAGACTAATATATAGCTAATATATAATATATTAAGAAATATATAGCTTGAAGGGGCTAAAAATTTTTACCTTAAAATGTTTTTAAAAAAATTAAAAACGGCTTTTATTCTAGCCGAAATAAAACAAATAAAATTTTCTCAGACATACTGTGAAATTTTCCTTGCTCTGTTAAACATCATTTGGGGAATTTTAAAAAATGAAATAAATTAAAAGGGAGGCAAATAATTATATTTTAGAATTATTCTAATTCTAATTTTAACTGTCTGCAGGATGATATTTCGTACTAATTTAGATTCTTTTGAACTATTGACTACTTTTTTTTTAATGAACTGGTTTATAAGTTATTTACCAAATTATACAACTATGGTCACGTTTTATGATTTTTTTTAAACAATAAAAAGGCATTTCTTGCCTTCATTTGAGGTTTCTCTTTTCATTTGAGGTATCTCTTTTTTTTAATATCTTTATATATATATACAGTTTATACATTATAATAAACTTAATGTTCACATGCAAGACTTTTGTGAAAGAAAATCTTTCAGTGCTTTTATGACCGAGTGAAAAGTTTGAGGGAATGCAGTATTGCTGTTAGAGAATGGAGAGTTTTTCAGGGGAACACAAAATTCTAGTGAGAGAACACAAGAGTTGTGTAAGAGAACACAGTGTATTTTGGGGGGAATAATACTCCGACATTTTGAAAGCACTGCCACCAGTGCCATTATGTTCTACAGATGGTGGACACCAATATCTAATTTGGTAAAACATGTAATATTAATTATAATAATAAATTATTAATAAAGTTTTGTCTTTGACATGAGCTTGAATTGAGAGTAGATAAAGAGTGAGGTGAGATTCAGAATAGTTTATTTTCATTTATAAAAACTGTACAATATATACAATTTCTGACCGATTTCTATATAGGTAACACTTTACTTGAAGGGTTGTTCTTTAGTGTCATGACACCTTCATAATCAGGACATGACATGTCATGAAAAAGACTTTATTTATGTAGAAGTCATTATGTGCCATTTGTTCCATTATGGCATTTTAAATGCAAGGATGAGTATGTTTGAGACATTTCATGACATTATGAAGACAGCATACCTTGTCATTAATCTTAAGCATGATGTCATTTGACCATTATACGTGTAATAAATAATTTTCTGATCACTTCAGTGGAACAAGTTGAATTTGTCATTGAACTTTCTCAGTAAAAGTGTCACTACTCTGTCAAATACGTTTATAAACGAGTGATTAATATTTAACGACATGTAATAACATTTTAATGACAAATTTAGTTTGAATCACTGTAGTTAAGGGCAAGAAAAAAAGTACTTGCGCTGTCAAAAAATGAACGACAGTCATAATAATAGCCTCATGACAATCATGTTAATGACAGGTTTATGACAAATTATGTTGTCTTGGTAATGTCAAGTTGTCATGACAAAGACAGTGTATGGTGTATTTATGTCAATTTTCATAACAAGACACCTCAAACAATAACCTTTTCATTAAAAATGACGGAACTGAGCAAATTAAACTTAATGACAGTTGTCAGAAGCATGCATAAAATGTAATCCACAATCATGACATGTTTTGTAATGATTGAAGATTTTTCATGATATATGTATTTCATCAGTATTATGAACACCTTTTCAAGTAAAGTGTTACCCATGTTTTTATATATTTTTAGATCTTTGAGCACAAGAACAACCTCAGTATCACAATAAAAAAATGTATGTGAGAGCTAGAAAAGTGCTCTTTAGTGGTCATGCAATTGAAGTCCATGTTCCATGTTCTTTCAGCAAATGCAAACCTCCAGTGAAGGCAATACTCATGCTACAATGCAATGCTTTTCTTTGAAATGCACTACTTCACAGGAACTTCACAGTTTTGGGATTTGCACCAAATCACAGTGAACTGAAAAACAATATTTTTAGCAGCTCTAATATGTTAAACATGGAAAATGTTTCAATTAGCTGAGATTTAATTGTTTAGAAGAATGAAGTCACCATCGTTTCTTGGAGCGTGAAAGTGTGAAGGTGCTGCTACTAAGCCTCTCTAGACTCTTGAGTAAACCGGCAGAGGCTGTGCCTGTCACTGCGGATGGCATGTGTGAAAGTCCACTCTAAATGTAATGGTCAGCCTGCGGCTCAGGGTGACGGCAGATTTAGTCAGTGGGAGGGAAGGGGGGAGGGTGAGGAGAGTAGTTCTTCATCTCTCCGTGGGGCTCAGATTAACACGAAGAGTTGCATAAGACTCATTTACGGGATCATAACAGGTCCTAGGAGAGGAGGGGGGAGGAGAAAAAAGGGAAAAAGAGAACAAACTGATTTGCCCCAAAGCGTCACGACTTACACGTTGTTGCCCACTTACAAGTTAACCCAATCAGAAAGCTCTCCCCTAATGCCCCTCCTGACACACACACACACGTCACACACAATACTGTAAAGCTTAGAAGAATTTTAGTTCTCAACGCTCTGCTATGCTGGGCTATTTTAGGAAAAGCAGGTACGTTGTTATATTTACATTTTTCTTTGTCAGAAGACTTGTGCTTATATTATTATTAAAGTGATTAGCGATTCACTTTAGTTAGTGCATTATACATACAGTATTTTGGTCAACTAATATGTGCTTTTATGTGCAATACAGATATTTAAATGCAGGGAGGCTTATAAAATCTATATACATAATAAAATTTGATTACAGCAAACTAAAATTAACTATAGTTACTAGTGGAAAGAGTAAAACAAAATTACATTATAATGACATTTTTGCTACGTTTTAAAGTGTATGATTTAAATGATAATTTAAAGGGGTAGTTTCTTCAGGCCGTCCAAAATTTTGTTAAGCATTATACAAGATAATTCAGCTAAAACTTAATTATTACTTGTTAGTTATGGACTTGCCTTTTATAAATTCCCAAGCACCACGGTTTTAACTGCAGATTTTATTTAATTTTGATTTAAATTTTTGATTTAAATTTAATTTAATTCCTGCAATACGGATGTGACATTTGCAGTAAAAACTCAAAGCATAAATTCACATAGAAAGTATATCCTAACAATATATTTAAACATCTGTTTATATTTTCCAAAATGACTAACCACAAAGTTATGGGATCAGAAAAATGTCAATCTATAAAAATGTTTTATAATTTAAATTAGGAAAATAGACATGCGTCATAGATGTGACCAAAAAGCCTGCGAGTTTACAGTATACAGCATACTTTGTAGAAATTCTGTGAATTAATCTGTACAACCCAAAAGAACCATAGATAATTAGAAGAATAAGTGCTGCCTCTCTATAAAACAAAAAAAAAAAACGATTGATTTTATTTTATTTTTGCTAATCAAAAATAATTGTTTGAAAATATTGACAGAGTTACTTTTGTTTATTTTTACAGTACTGTAAAATACATGCCTACACAACTTAGAGTTTTGCTATTTTTCTGAAACCTTTTTTAATGGTTGACATTTGCATGCAATTGCTCTGTTCTACTAAAGATAAAAGTCACATTCAAAGTAGGTATAGGATGATAACCAGTTTCAGATAAGGTTTATTGCTGTTTGGAAACTTTTTTAAAACTGTCCAAATTTTCTGTTATACCGTTCCTAAGGTATATGTACTTTTTATTTTTATTTTTATTATTTTTTTTTACAACTATTTTATTTAGTTTATTAGGGCAACAGTATCTCCAGTGGAAAAGGACCATTCACATCAAAAGCTACTGTTCCAAAATATTTTTTATAAATATTGCGTTCAATGGGGAAAAAGCTGTTTAGACATTTTAAAAATATATATTTTAGGGCAGTAATCACAGCACTGTAAATCAATGATATTTTTATCCAAACAATATATATATATATATATATATATATATATATATATATATATATATTGTATACAAACAATACAATCTTAATACAAATACAAGTTGCATTTAGATATTTTTATTATAGTTGTAGTTTAGTCGGTTCTTTTGAAATCATTTTCAATATCAACCACACAGGATCAGAGAATGTAAAGCCTCTGGAAAACTGCTTTACATCTTTGTGTCTTTTGTGTTCCCGAGATAAAGTATTTATTTTGTTGATGCAGGTTTGACTCGGAGCAGACTCAGGCTCAAGAGGAGGTGCAGAGAGAGAAGAGTCAGCGGGAGAAACTCAGCAGAGAGAAAGACATGCTGACCGGGGAAGTGTTCAGCCTTAGACAACAACTGGAGGTCTGCAACCTCTCTTATATCATCCTCTCTTTGTTGTCTCTCACTTCAGTCCTGGCTGTGACATACATGTGTCTGTGCGAACCGAGCCCAGACTTTGTTGCCCTAAATGAGTTTTTCTCTGCTCTTTCAGGATAAGGATCTGGAGATATGCGCTGTCAATCTGAAGCTGGAGCAGATGGAGGCGGAGCTTCAGGATTTGAACTCGCAGGAGTCGAAGGATGAGGCGTCATTGGCCAAGATTAAGAAGCAACTTCGTGACCTTGAGGCCAAAGTCAAAGATCAGGAAGAGGAACTGGATGAACAGGCTGGAACCATTCAGATGCTGGAACAGGTGATGTTTGAATGGGATACACAAATTTGTTTTTACAACATTTTATTATTAGTTTTCGTCGTAATTTAATAGACCCTTGTTGAAAAAATGTGTTTAAATACTACAATGACAAAGTTTGGGGTTAGAAATTAGTCTTATAATTAAAAGTAATTAGCTTTTAGTATTTTATAAATTTTACATAATCATAAAGTTTTAAAAGGATGAAGTTTTATCATGTGTATTTACATATTATTTATTTTTATATAAAACATCGACCATTTAAATATATATATATTTCAAATATAAAAAAATAACAAATATAAGTATAAAATAAAATTAAAATTGTAGTTGTTTTTATTCTTGTAAACAGGTGATCACCATTTTCATTATGATGGAGATTTTAAAATAACCAAAATTGTTCTTTAAAGTCTGCGTAAACCAGAAATTGCTGAGACTTTTATTGAAGCATGTTTATGTACTTCCAACTGAAATGGAATATTGAGTAGGGGCGGGGCTTTCTCTTTGCACATCATTCCCTCATAGCAAACGGTAAGAGAGGCATGGTTAAGAGTATTTTGTAGGAACGCCCATTTATACACAGAAGCAAATGGTCAGACTTTGATTAAAAATTAAACCAAAACAAATTTTAGTTTACAAACTTTTTTTTTTTCAGGTGATTTACTCAGCATGGATTAATTGTTCACTTAAAGAATATCAATGTGCTCTAACAAAACACACATTGTAAATTAGGGATGCTCTGCTCAATCGACTGAATCAAATTTCATGACTCCATCAGTACTCGCCAATCTGGCCTATCTCATGAACTGATCGCAGGTGTCTGTTTAGGAGTTTACAAGCAAAGTAAGGCGCACGTGGGCTTCCTTATATTATGTATTGCCTACAGCATTCAAACACATGGGGAGGTAAATGATGTGTGGGGGTGTGAGCAATCGATAAATAGCTAAAATATATACAGGTGCAGTGCGATCTGTTTATACAGTCTATTAGCTCGACTCGCATGAGTGATGATCTCTTTGTTGCTAGTGCAGCCAATGTGTTTACAGTGATTTGAGCTGCTGTGATGCAAGTGGAGCGATCACCACTATCTAGTGTCTCATCCAATCCTATGACCTCTCCTGGAAGCTCTGGGAGTCTTACGCGTATTCATATCGGCTCCATGATCCTCCAAAACAAGTTAAAATACCTGGAAATACTGGTGACATGAGATCACGAGAGGCACAGTGATGGTTTGAGCATTACATTTCTTAGGTTAAATGAATAAAGCAGTAAAGATCTCATGAGTGCAAACCCCCTTCTCTGTAATTTGAGAGATCTGCTGTCAATTTGTTACTTCCTGCCCAGGGACTACAGATGTAAATTAGCTTTATAGCTAACTCTGGCACAACATGTCATGTTGTACATTGTCCCTGTATAAATAAATTAAATAAATAAATAAAATAAATAGTTGTCGTTGAGCAAAGTATTTGATTGGTCCTGCATGTATTAAGACCATTTTACATATAACAACTGAAAGTTCTGTGTTTTTGACAATATTGCAAGTTCAGTAAAAGCTGGCTTAAATTAGTAGATTAATAAAACATGTATATTATTTAATAATATAACTTCTTGTAATATGCTTATTGTAATAAACATTCGTTTATAGGCCTATTTCCTTTTAGTAGAGACGTATTAGATTTGCAGGTGTGCATTTTAACTTATGCATCAAATATGCGCTCCAAACTTTTTCTTGATTGAGACATGTTGAATTTTTCTTTGATCATTTGTGATGTTTCCAAATTGCATTGTTTGCCATTTTTCTTACCAATTTTTATATCTGTGTTAAATTATTTTCTGTGATGATTCCTGATTAATAAGGGACTAAGTCAAAGTAAAATGCTGCTTCTGGCCATGACATGTTCACCCCTGAATGGTTATAAGAGATGTGTTTTAGGTATTATATGAAGCATCCTTAATCTATTCTTTCAGGTAAGACAAGACCTCCACTTAAGTATCATACTTGGAGGGAAAATGTGCTTAATGCATTATAAAGCTTGAATCATTAGAATCTGTACTCAGTAATGGCCGATCACCATGACAAGGAATCGGCTGCAAAAATCCTGATCAGAGCATCCCTATTGTAAATGTAAAATTTACACGCACTTTAAATATCAAACCATGGCATGAGTCATGCACCAATGAAGTCTCGAGAATAAAGATATATGTTGCATCGAACTGCCTGGTGTTTAATGTATTCTTGATATGATGCACATTCTCTGTGCACTCAATTTTCACCTGTCATGCAGAATATGCAAATTCATGTAGATTCAGCTGATGTGTCTGTGTGGAGAAATTGTCAATATGCACAGTCTGCATACATTATAATAATAATTATGAAGCAGTTTGTTGGCCTGTGTGGTGGTGTTATTTTGCATATGCTTCTGTATGCGGACGGCGTGTGTTTTCGCTGTGTTCTATCGCATGCGTGCGTTCAGAAGGTGCAGATTTGTATTCACTGAGTTGTTGATGTTGTGACCTGCAGGCCAAGCTCCGTCTGGAGATGGAGATGGAGAGACTGAGACAGACGCATTCGAAAGAGATTGAGAGCAAAGAAGATGAGGTGGAGGAGATCAGACAGTCCTGCAGCAAGAAGGTATGATACTTTCAACCGCCCACCTTCATTGTGTGATATCCATTATTGTATACTGTTTTATTATAATTCAATAAATGTTTGCTTTTAAAATTCCCACTTTGCTTTACAGTCTTCATGTTATGTAGATGTTGAGTAATGTAAAAAGATTGCTGAGCAATTCTTTTGTCTAGCTACTGGTATATTAAAATCCAAACAAATAAATAAATAATAAGATTTATTTTATTTCGATTATTTAATGTTTATCTGTTCAACCACTTTAGAATAATAATCATTATTTCACAGTTTTATGTATAAAAATACATGCATATTTTGATTGATTAAATTGATTGACTTGTTTATTTATTATAATTAGTCTCATGTATGTATGTATGTATTTTTATTATTTGTCTGTTCCTGCAGGGAGCTAATTTTCTCATTAAGTGACATTCAATGTGATTATACTAATTTTATTTCAGCAAACTATTTTTAAAAAAGCATATTAATTAATCTAAAAAAAAAGTAACTCCAATATTCAGATAGATATTCTCCTGCAAAGATTGCTTGATTTAGGAGTGAATGGTGATCTTATTCGGTGGATTAATGATTTCCTTTTAAATCGTCCACAAATAGTATTTGTTATGACGATATGGTGTCTAAAACAATGATTTTAAATTCAGGAGTTCCACAAGGAAGCATTTTATCAACCTTACTTTTTTCTCTTTACACAAATGAACTGAAGATCCAAGATTTAGGTTTTAAGTTATTTAAATATGCAGATGATATGGCACTTGTTTGCCGGTTGACTAAAGCAGGAACAGAAGGAGATACCTTGGACTACAATTATATAAATTTGCTTCAAAATTGGTGTAAAAGGAATTTACTGGAGATCAATTTTACTATAACCAAGGAGATTATTGGTAGAATTAAACCTTCTTAGTCAAGGGTTGAAACCTCTGGTCCTTGAGGGACATGAAATAGAGACAGTTGGATGTTTTAATTATTTAGGAACATTTATTGATAGTGGATTAACATTTGCTGCAAATGCATAGTCCATTTAAAAAAAAAAGCAATGCAGAGATTAAATCTCATTGTGGACAATAAAGAAAGTAAAGTATTATTACTTAATTTTTAAAAAGAAATGCATTACTTGTCTCGTTATTAAGAAAAGTAATATTATAACATAATTTACTTTACCTGTAATGCGTTACCCCCAACACTTTATATATAATAACAAAAAAAAAATATGACAAAATAGATCTTTGTTACAACAAAAAATAAACAAAAGAAAATAATAAGACATGACCTATTACATTTGCATAAGTCACGGACTACTGCTTTCATACACGTTTAGTTACATCAAATTTTCTCTTCGGTCAAACTACCTTTTTTTTCTGTAGAGTTTTACATAAGGCAGTGCTTTACAGGCTAAAAGTCATCATGTATGAATTTGCAACAATGTGAAATAAATTCAACACATCATACAGTCCTACTGTTTATCTTTTTTCCTTAACTGACAGCATTTCACAAGTTCAATTATAATTGCTGCCGTTCAGTTCTTATGCAGTGCTCGCTTCAACTTCTGTACGACATAAATAAACAAGGCATATTGGGCCATTTGTTGAATACGAATTTTCCTTCAGCGTTGTTCGGCTCTTGTTGCTGATAGCGACTTCACATTTGTGGAGTGTCTTTAGCGCGGAGGTGCAGATAAGCTGAACTCAACGAGTTTTGTTTTGATGTATAATTCATGGGGCTGCTATTTTATTTTCCTCACGTATAGTTCACCTTTCCCTCCTCTCCACTTAACCAATCAAGCTGCCAGTACAGTGCATCCTATAATTACCCTTCTTTGGGTCCTTTGATTGACACTTGAAGCTGCTCAGAAGCATCTAAAGACACATTGAGGGAGTGTGTTGATATGTCTGGAATGATGGTACATAATTGGATTGACTCTTCAGGGCAATGCTACTTCACAAAGCCCTCAGTGATGTTGTGTGTTTTGTGTGTGTGTGAGCAGCTCAAGCAAATGGAGGTCCAGCTGGAAGAGGAGTATGAAGACAAGCAGAAGGTCTTGAGGGAGAAGAGGGACATGGAAGCCAAACTGATGAGCGCTCAGGACCAGGTACAGAGCAAACTTGTCCATCTAAAATCTGGTTGAAAGGGGATTGGTTAAATATATTCTGTTTTTCATATTTAATAGCAGACGCTGATTTTTTTAGACTCACTTTATTTAGAGATGCATTAATTATCGATTTTAGTTGTATGATTGTAGTCAGAGGAATAATCACAGTTCCACGTTGATCATAATATTCACGATGATCATAATTGCTCAAAAACTAAATAATACAGCACAAGATAATAATAAAAAACAAACAATAGTCCATTTCTCTTTAGATTTAAAAGTATTTGAAAAATGTTTTTGGCATTTAAACATACAGTACGTAATAATTTTACACTGATAAAATGATAGAACAATGAATAAATAAATGGAAATAAGAAAAAAACTGTAATAATAATAATAATTATTATTATAATGACTTACATTTATATAGCTCTTTTCAGGACACCTAAAGATCTATACACATAGGGGGAATCTCCTCATCCACCATCATAGTGCAGCATCCACCTGGATGACGTGACGGCAGCCATAGTGCACCACACACCAAATTTGGCCAGGATGATGGGGTTAAACTCCTACTCTCTTTTTCAAAGGACATCCTGGAATTTTTAGCAACCACTGAGAGGCACTCACTGAGTAGTAAAGAGTCCCCTTCACTGTACTGGGGCTTTAGGACCCACACAGACCACAGGTTGGGTGCCCCCAATATGTGGTCAAGAAAAGAAATAATGAACTTGCGTGCACAAAAGACGTGACTTGAACGGCCCTCAGTTAATAGCCTCAGCCATAGTTGATTCAGTATGCTTGTGTATTAGTCTCAGTGTACAATCTTGGCATTTTAAACTAGCTCACAGTTGCTCAAACTTTGTTTAGTTGCAATAGTTTGTTCCATGCAAACAGGCGGTTTTTGAGTAGCCTTTATGATTAATTAATCATGACAAATAAAAGTGTGGTTAAAAGGTAATTTTGTGTTGGAAATTTGGCAGTTTTTTGTTAACGTTTTTAATGGCATTAAAAAGTTGGGGGTGAGTAAAATATTATTATTATTTATTTATTTAAATTTTTTATGAATACTTTTAATTAATTTTACATCATATGTGTTTATTACATTAATTTACTTTCATTTATTGTGTTTACATTTACAGTTGTTTTGATTTAAACATTTCATTTTTCAAATTGAAAAAAGGAAAAAGATAATAAACTGCTGTGTTCAACAATACTTTATTATTGACACTAAAGAAGTGCTTATAAATGCTCAGTCCCTCATAGCAAACTAATGGTAAGAGTGTTATGGTTAAAAATGTTATTTCTGAAGCTGTCAAACTGACGTCAACAGAGTAGGTGCCACTTTAATCACGGAAGCAAATGGTCAGACTTTGGCTGAAGATTAATAAAAAAAAAAAAATTAGGAAAATATCTTGCAAGGATTAATTGTTACCTAAATAATAACAATGTGCACTAGTTTTACATTTTTATTTTCACAAAAAACAACTTTGCTCTAAGTGTCAAGAACAATCAGTAGCAGTTGCTAAAATCCAACCAAAATCACCTTCTTAATCACTGAATGTGTAAAACTTTAAGGATCATCTAAAACCATGCTTGTTATTTTCAGGTGAGCCACAGAGATGTGGAGGCAGAGAAGCGTCTGAGGAAAGATCTGAAGCGCACCAAGGCCCTGCTGGCTGATGCTCAGATCATGCTGGATCACCTGAAGAACAATGCACCCAGCAAGAGAGAGATCGCCCAGCTCAAGAACCAGGTCTGTTGTTCATCTCCCTGTGCGCTCAACATCGCATCCAGCAGTAAACATACATTTTATTTATGAGCGTTTGTGTTTACGTTCCCTGTACAGCTTGAGGAATCCGAGTTCACATGCGCTGCTGCAGTCAAAGCCCGAAAGTCGATGGAAGTGGAGATCGAGGACCTCCACGTCCAAATGGATGACATATCCAAATCCAAACAGGCTGTAAGTCTAACTGCGCTTGGGGGTAAAAGTAGAATGAAGCTGAAATTATTTTTATTTCTTTTAAATGAGAATCCACCATAGGTGTCAATTCAATTATTTGCTACAGAGAAATGATTTCCACCCTTAATGGCACATTTCCGATTCTGCCTCTAATTTGAACAAGATGTATCGCTCTGAAATGCATCACACTTTAATAATTCTATCATTGGTACAGTATTATTTGAGCGTGTAGAGAATTGTGTAATTGTGTCCTCGCTGTAGCGTATTATGAAGCGATATCAGGAGAAGCGGATGCAGCCAAATTCTGCAGATGCCGTTCCCCTGATGCTGTCTCCATATTGTTTTCCTTTTTTTTTCTTCATCACTGCCGCCTGTCATATTTCCTCAGCTCTCTGGAGCAAGAGACATTTAGACATAAGGGTGCAGCGAACATTTTAATTTGCTATAAAGCTGCAGCAATGCATTGTTTCGGTGTGGGCCGGGGAGTGTTTTTTGTGGGTGTTCCTAAAGCAGAATATCGTCATATTGATCAGCTAGATGTGATAAATGGTTTGGCCATGATCACTGTCTGATTAGCTTCAGGTCTGTCTGACACCCCGTCATGGATTTCCACTAGAGGATTTGAAGGTGACACATGGGCTAGATACAATACACCTGCCAGACGGAGTTTAAAGGTGTGGAATTGAAGCTGCACAGACAATAAGGGATTTCTTTTAGCAGTGTCTAGCGTTTAAAGGGATACAAAATAGGAAATGGGATGGATGATTTTTGAATACTGAAAAAAAGTATTTAAGTCACATTGTCTTGTGATCAGAATTTTTTCTTTTTTTCTTTTGGGCATTTTGCTTTTATTATGATATTTGTTTCTAGAAAAGCTCCAGTCAAGACTCAAATTCAAGATGCCTGCAGCCCAGTTGCACTGCAGTATGTGTCAGCGCACTGCAGGGCTATCAACCTATCAGCATGAAAAAAGTCTCGTAAACACTTTACTTAAATGGGTGTTCATAAGACTGTCATGAAACCTTTATAATCATGACATGAAAGTGAATGATATTTTATGCATGCTTATGACAACTGTTATTATGTGTCATTTACATAGTTACAGTTGATGTCAGAATTATTAGCTCCCTTCGATTTTTTTTTTTCTTCTTTTTTAAATATTTTCCAAATGATGTTTAACAGAGCAAGGACATTTTTACAGTATGTCTGATAATATTCTTCTTTCTAGACTTTCTTCTGGAGAAAGTCTTATTTGTTTTGTTTTGGCTAGAATAAAAGCATTTTTGAATTTTTTGTGAACCATTTTAGGGACAAAATTATTAGCCCCTTTCAGCTATATTTTTTCTCGATAATCTACAGAACAAACCACTGTTATACAATAACTTAATTCCCCTAACCTGCCTAGTTAACTTAATTAACCTAGTTAAGCCTTTAATGTCACTTTAAGCTGTATAGAAGTGTCTTGACAAATATCTAGTAAAATATTATTTACCGTCATCATGGTAAAGATAAAATCAATCAGTTATAAGAAATAAGTTATTAAAATTATTATGTTTAGAAATGTGTTGAAAAAAATCTTCTCTCCGTTAAGCAGAAATTGGGGGGAAAATAAACAAGCGGTCTAATAATTTAGGGGGGCTAATAATTCTGACTTCAACTGTATGTTATTTAAATGCAAAGATGACACTTTGTTATGAAAGCTTGACATGAACAAATCCATAACAACCAGTTTTCATCTTTGTCATGACAACTTGACATTACCAAGACAACAGAATTTGTCATAAATCTGTCATAAACATGATTGTCATGAGGCATTATAATCATAAATATTTTTCTGATGATGTTTCCAAAGCAACAAACTGTATTTGTTATTAAAATGTCTCATTTAAAGTGTTGTTACTGTGTTGAATAACTTTTAACAGCGTCTTTAATATTTATTGACATTTTGATGACAAATTCAGCTTGTATGATTGAGGTAGAAAAATATAAATGACACTGTTGTAAAATTGAATGAAATATTTATTATAGCTTCATGTTTATGACAGATTTATGACAAGTTTTGTTCTCTTGGTAATGTCAGGTTGTCACGACAAAGACAAAACAGGGTGTGATGTGTTTGTTTATGTCAAGTTGACAAAAACAATGTCACCTTTGCATTTAAAATGTCATAACTGAGTGAATGGTACTTAATGAGGGTATAAGCATGCGTAAAATCTCATTCACATTTATGACAAGTGTCATGTCATGGTTATAAGGGTTTAATGACAGTCTTATGAACAACCCTTCAAGTAATGAGTTACCAAAGACTTAAAAGCAACATGTAAAAACCGTAGCATTGTGAAATGTGCTACAGCTTAATGTTTTAAATATTTCGAAATGTCATTTATTTCTGTAATGGCTGAAAACCTGAATTTTCAGCATCATTACTCCAGTCTTCAGTGTTACATTCAGAAATCCTTTAAACATGGTGATTCAGTGCTCAGCAAACATATCTTATTATAAATGGTAAAAGGTTGTGCTGCTATTTTTGTGAAAGCAGATTTTTCATTTATTATTCAATGAATAGAATGTTCCGTATTAGTTTTATTTTTTAAAGAAGATTTTTTTTGTAACATTACAAATGTATTTACTGTGATGCTTGGTCAATTTGACACGTCGTTGTTAAATAAATAATTTTAAAAAAGGATTTTAAATGTACAGAAAATATTATTTTTACATTTGGAGAAATGAAGCAGTCAGAATATGCTTCATTTGCAACTTTTAAAGAAACAGTAGCTACTTGTATTGGGCTTTATAATGAAAATAGTTACATGTTACTTTGTCAGAGACACTAAATTCTATCACTTCCAAATTACAAAAATGTGAGGTAAAATGTAAAATAGAGCCACTTTAGTAGTAATTGATTTGCGTTGATTTGTAAAAGAAAGACAGAATATGAAAGAAAAGATGTTTTGACAAAATAGTTAAACTTCTTGCTTCTCTGCTGACTAATTCATTAGCAGTATGTCATAACTACATTATTTTTGCTTTTACTAATACATTTAAAAGTTACTCCTCAGAGATTAGCTGAATCTATTGTTGAAGTAATTATTATTGAATGGAATTAGACCTCTGATACAGTTTGACAGAGCAGGCGGTGAAGTGTTCGTCTCTAATTGGGAGACACTTCTGTGTTCTCAGGGATTTATACAATGCAGGCAGCTACTGTGTAGTGATGGTGTGACAGGAAAATTATCTCTTTAAGGGATAAAAGGAGATGGCTTTCGGTCTGAAGCTAAAAATGAGCTGCAGTGTTCATGCAGGGAGCACAGTATTGAGGCTGATGTTAAAGAAAAGTCAGTTCATTATTTATTTTTGGTAAGACTTTAAATGAAGGGGGTGTTCACAAGATTGCCACGAAGCCTTTATGATCATGACAGACTGTCATTGAAGTGTTACTAGTTGAAGTATTTCATATTACATATGAAGGTGATACTTTTAATCATCAATACAACATAATTTGTCATAAATCCGCCATAAACATGACTGTCATGATGACATTAAAATTGTCTCATGATTTTTTTTTAACAGTGTCATTATAAAGTCATTATACGCCATCTACGACTGCTAAAAGCAGTCTTAGAAAAGAACCCCAGACTTCTCTCTTCCCAGAAAGGTGTTCCCAGGCCAGCCAAGAGACATAGTCCCTCCATCATGTCTTGGGTTTTCCCCAAGGCCTCCCTTCGGTGGAACATGCCTGGAACACCTCCCTAGGTAGGCGTCCTGGAGCGATTCAAAAACAGATGACCGAGCATCTCAGCTGACTTCTCTTGATGTGGAGGAGCAGTGGTTCTACTTCGAGCTCCTCCTGGGTGACAGAGCTCCTCACCCTATCTATAAGGGTCTGGCCTGCCACCCTGTGAAGGAAACTCATTTCGCCCGCTTATATCCGAGATCTTGTCTTTTATTTAATGATCCCAAGCTTATGACCACTGGTGAGAGTAGGAACGTAGATTAACCAGTAAATCGAGAGCTTTACCTTTCGGCTCAGCTCCTTCTTTACCACAACGAACCAGTACATCGACTGCATTACTGCTGCTGCTGCACCAATCCGCCTGTCAATCTCACTTTCCATCCTTCTCTCACTCGTGAACAAAACCCCACGATACTTGAACTCCTCGGCCTTGGACTTGGAGTTGCTGATTCTCATCCCTGCTGCATCATACTCAGCAGCAAACTGCCCCAGTGCATGCTATTTATTTATTTAATTAATTATTTATTATTATTTTTGATGTTGAAAATAAATCAAACAATGAACTAAATCAGTGTTTCTCAACCAGGTTCCTTGAGGACCACCAACACTGCATATATTGGATATCTCCTGTGCCTGCCACCCCCTTACAGGTCAATTAGTAACTGTTAGTGAGCTGAATCTGGTGTGTTTGGTTAAGGAGATATGGAAAATGTGCAGAGCTGGAGAGCCTCCAGGAACGTGGTTGAGAAACACTGAACTATATAATTATTTAATGTTTTTATTTATGTATATTTTTAATACACATTATTGCTGTTATAATCCATGAGAGTAGCATACTTTTTTTTTAAAAATACAGTTTTCTGAATATGTATTTTCAAAATTTGTTTGAATATCCAGAGTCAAGCGTTTCAAGGAGGCTGTTTGTTTTTCCATTCATATTTCTCAGTGATATTTCACACACACTATTTCAACACACATTTCAACTTACAGTCTTGTGCTTTTGTTTGATTGTGGTTCAGCTCGAGGAGCAGCTGAGTCGTTTGCAGAGGGAGAAGAACGACCTGCAGTCTCGCATGGAGGAAGACCAGGAGGACATGAACGAGCTCATGAAGAAACACAAAGCCGCCGTTGCCCAGGTAACTCTTTCCAGCTCTCATGGCTGTCAGAGCTGCTCCTCACCATCCACATCAAACACAGAGTACAGTATGTGTCTCTGCATGCACTTTTAAATTTATGTATGTATATATAATGCATACATGCATTCATATATATTCACAACAAGCAGGAGGGATGTAAAACGAACCTAAGAAGCTTTTCTGAGCATATCGCATGTTACTGCATATCTGACATTTTCCAGTATGATTCATTGCTGTTTCTCAGCAACATGCTTCCATCACGCAAAATCAAATCTACAGCATCGTTTAGTGTGTGCAGATAGACCATTCTGCCTTTTGATTGGTTGTTTGTGCCAGTGTGAATGTGATTGAAGCAGTTGTCGTTTATTTGAGCGTGTGGGTTGATTGTCATTAGCAGTGTTTTAAACACAGCGTGCTGCTATGGCAGCGATGTAGAGATGAGTGATGTGTCTCCACAGACCCCAAGTAAACAGATCCTCTACAACGGAACAGCCCTGTTCCCTAGGGTTTATTTCACCAGCTCTGTGGTTCATTTATGTGCAGGTTTTAAAACACACATTCATACTTGAGGCATTCAGATAGTCTCAACTATCTCCCCGCTTCATTTCACTCATGTTTCTGTTAAGATGCCATTTATTACTGCCATTTTTTGAGCGATGTCATTAGCAGGCAAAATGATAGTTTCTCTCTGCAGCTAAATGGAATATTTAAATAAAAAAGTGTCATCATAGTACACATTCCTCAGCTTGTGCAATGCATGTTGTTTTAATGGTACAGTAGTATGCTGTGAAGGATAATATTCTGTTTTTCATATGATTTTAAATTAATATGCATCCTTTTAAATAATGAAATGGATTGTTGTGTGGCAGTTTAGATGATACAGGTATCTTGAATAATTCATGCATACTAGAAAATGTGTACACATATGGAAATCATGTACACCAAAGCATAACAAATGACTTCTGGGAGATAGAAATGGAGGAATTCAGAATGATTGACCCCTGTCTGGTGCATTCTTTTGCAGTCCTCACAGAACTTGGCCCAGATCAGTGACCTACAGGCCCAGCTGGAGGAGGCTATGAAGGAGAAACAGGACGTCCAGGAGAAGGTGAGTTCACTTTGGCATCAAGACAAAAACTGCATAATCACTGTCAACAATGTTACTTGCATTTTTATTGAACATTAAAGATTATTTTCGTTTAAGGTGGGAAAAGGACAGATTATTTGGAGTTCTAGTTGTCCATTGAACTCGAAAGTTACCAGACAATGCTTTAGACTCTTTGAGTTGATTGTGTTATATCAAGATCAAGCTTCAGACTTTCCTTTTTATGAGATTAACATTATACTCCACCCACTAAAGTTCTCATATTTGAATAGGTAACCTTTAAACCCTGCACCTCTTGGTACTTGAATTTTTATTGGTTGAATCTGGCTCTGCTCACTCACAGTTTGCATCTTTATTTGTAAGATCTTAACCCCGCTCAGCTTTTGACTTTAAAATAAAATCTGACTACACCAAAGTATTTTAATCTCAATTGTATGAGCAGAATCTAGCCCTCCTGTTATTTGACTCCTACTTAAAAGTAGCATCTGACATTGCCTGTTTTCAGCATTTAATACTTAAGGCCAGTTCACAATGCATCAGCAAACACCAAAAGATGTCAATAGCTAACAATCTCTGGATTGTCTAATCAGCGTGTTACCCCTGTCAGTGTCTGTTGGTGTCTGTCTGAGTTTATTTTTGCTTGTTCTTATCATAAGGAGATTTACATTCTGCCCCGTTTGTCCCCCTTCTGACTCAGACTCTGCTCTTTTTAGATTTTTATTTTCTTTATTTATTGGATCCTACTCCACCCCTCAACATTTGACTAATACACTCAAACTTTGCCCCTCTTAATGTTAGACTTTTAAATGATATGATCAGGCTCCACCTCATCCAGCATTTGATTCTTTACTTATAGGAACAAACTTATGGAGCTAAATCAGTCTGAAAAATAATACATTTACATAATAAATTCTTACATGCACAGCAAAATTTACATTTACAAAATCCAATTTGTAAATTCAAAACTCTTTTTTTTATGAAATTCAATTCATAAATACAACACACAGTTTGTGAATTCACAAGGAAAAATCATAAAATATTTTGCCAAATAAATTGGATACGTGTATTTATAAGTTGTGTTTTGAATTTCTGAATTGGACTTGTGTATTTTAAATTCATGTTTTGAATTTACGAATTGGATTTGTGCATTTTTAAATTGCGTTTCGAATTTGCGAAATGGATTTGTGCATTTTCAAATCGTTTTTTCAATTTACGAATTGGATTTATTATTTCCAAGTTGTGTTTTGAACTTCCGAATTAGATTTTGTAAATGTGAATTGTGTTGTGGGTGTATAAATTATATTTTGTGAATGTATTATTTTTGAGACTGATGTAGCTCCATACAAACTCCCCTCCTCAGAATTTCTCTACACTGAAGTCTCTACACTCCTTTTTACAAAATATATTTTTATTTTTGTTTTTCCCCTCACAAAACTAAAAATGTTAGTAATATGCGCAACAGCTATACATAGGTGGCCGAAAAAATATTGGTATTCTTAGCACAGAATATTAGTACTGAAAAAGAACTAGTGCTATATGCAGACATGGGAAAAGAGAAATTCATAGGCACAGTGACAGGGTTTGAATAATGAACATGAGACCTGTGTAACGGAGTATTAGGACCTGTATCTTGATCAAAACTAGGTTTGACCCGTCAGTCAGTGTAAATCAGCAAATCTCATTTATAGGCTGATAAGCTAGATAGACCTGCTGTCTAGAATTACTGCTCAGCACAAAATGCTTGTGTTCAGTTAGTACTTCCATGAAATACAGATTGCTGTCCTTTCTCATTGTATGTGTGTGAAATCTCACCCTTTATGTGTGTGTTTGGCAGCTCACGGCCCTGCAGAGTCAGCTAGAGTTCCAAGAGCAGTCCATGGTGGACAAGTCTCTGGTCAGCCGGCAGGAGGCCAAGATCCGAGAGCTGGAGACCAAGCTGGAGTTCGAAAAGACACAGGTCAAACGCTTGGAGGTGAGTTGGCAGGATGTGTTTGCTTATGTGGGCTTGAGCAGGCCGGCTGCTGGAAGTGTCAAAAGGTCAGCGCTCAGGCATTGAAGTGTCAGATAAGGGTAAAATTAATCTACACAACCACCAGCACTGGTCTATTTTTTTTAGAGACCTTTAACCCCTTTACTAGAAATGTTTTCCAATTTCCTATGGAACTCTTTCTCTACAAATTGAATGTGGATTATATTTGTCCCCCTTCTGCTTTTCAAATGAAATCGAGAGAGGAAATGTACATATTTCATTTTAGTTTATTTATTTATTTGCTTTGCTGGAGGTCATCTGTTTTTGCACTGTATACAGCTTGTGTGATTAAAATGTGTTTTCTCTAATGCACATTATTTCAGCATTTTGTTTTTGTGTGATTTGATGGGCTTTTACTCCTTAAGTGACATTTTCCAGCCGCCAGTCCTATTCATCGTTCATCTCTGTTGGGTGCTCCCTCTCACCTGCAGAATTACAATTGGGCACTCTGCACAAATTACAATCGTCTACTGCGCCCACAGCAAAATCTGTCAACGGAAATGTTTTGAAAGCTCTGTTATTACTGATTTTGATGGATGTATAGCTCAGCGCAGTCTTGGGCAATGTTATCTCTAGGGGCAGCTTGTTTAAACCATGCCCATCCGAAACTGTAAAGAATCTCTGTTTTCCTAAATCTGCAGTTATTTCCATGCCAGTGCAGCCCACCTTTTGTGTGAAAAATCACAGAAAAGTTGCTTTGGAAGTTATTTGGAGTTTTTGCACCATATGGATAGCTTGACAATCTCGCATATTTCAGCGCTAGACTTGCAGGATGGCGTAAACAGCCATGCGGGGTTCAGAAACACTTAAGCGATGGTGCACGGTATTGCTGCATATATGCGTGTTAGATAAATGATTGCTGCATCTTCAGAGTCTTGTGGCGAGGCTGAAAGAAAATCTGGAGAAGCTGACTGAGGAACGAGACCAGCGCAGTGCCAGCGAGAACCGGGAGAAAGAACAGAACAAGCGTCTCCTCAGGCAGATCCGAGACATCAAGGAAGAGATGGCGGAGCTGGCCAAGAAAGAAGCAGAAGCCAGCCGCAAGAAACACGAGCTGGTGAGAGGCCCTTAACTGTTGTTCTGCTTCACTTATGTTCTCCTTCTCAAGTGTTTTAGAAGTCAGTTGTGCCAAAGTATATGCAGACACTAGATTCTGATTGATTAAATCATTTCATTCCAGTCAGATTTTAAAAATTACAGCACGCAATGACATTGTAAAAAAAAAATGGCATGCAGTATTTTGGCAGCAGTTTGAAGAGGGCCCTTTTCATTTCAGCATGACACGAGGTCCATAAAGAAATGATTTAGTAAGTCTGGTGAGAAGAAAATTGATTGGCCTTCATAAAAGTCCAGACCCGAACCCCATTGGGATTGAATAGGAACCGCAAGCCTACCAACATTAGTGGCTGACCTCATAGATCAGGGTCATAAATGAACTTCTTTTGCTCACAGCCAACATAGCTGGTGAATACAGAGTATTAATACATCTATTCAGATATAAGTAATGGAAGAAGTATCCAAGACATCACATTCTTATGGATGTAGTCTGGTTTTTTTTTTAACAATTGAGTTTTTGTTAAGATAGATAGATAGATAGATAGATAGATAGATAGATAGATAGATAGATAGATAGATAGATAGATAGATAGATAGATAGATAGATAGATAGATAGATAGATAGATAGATAGATAGATAGATAGATAGATAGATAGATAGATAGGAGATCTAACCCTAACTCTCTCTTTCTCTCTCTCTCTCTCTCTCTCTCTATATGTATATATATAGAGTATATGTATATACTATAAATAGATGGATGGATGGGGAGATAGATAGATATAGATAAATGGATAGATAATGTGTATACATTAACATTTCAAAATACATAAGCGAATATAGGCATTAACCTCATACTATCATTGTTATTATCTAATTAATTTACTGTTTTAAATATTACCTTAAAATAAACATTTGATTACAACAGATATAGTAAAAAAATAAAGGCTGAAATACTAAATTATAACTCCTTACCTTCAGGAAATGGATATTGAAAGCTTGGAAGCAGCCAACCAGAGTCTCCAGGCAGACCTCAAGCTGGCCTTCAAGAGGATCGGGGACCTCCAGGCTGCTATTGAGGATGAGATGGAGAGTGACGACAATGAGGATCTCATCAACAGGTGACACTTGCTGCTTTAAGAACTCTTTATTTAATGCGAACCTCAGGAGAGCTTCTCCATGTGCATAAGTGGGTAAAAAAAATAGATACGAGACACTGGATCTGGATGAATGCGCTGTTCACTGAGCTTTTGGAGACAGCAATCAGTGAGCCAGTCTCAGTCTCAGTCATCTCTTATTCACACTCTCTTAAATATTTATGTCTTGAAAACTGCCGCACATAATTTGGAGTTCTCTTTTTTTTATGTACTTGGCCTCATCAGTCAGAGGAAGAGTTATCTGTTCAGCCACAGTCGCTCTGCTTCTCTCAATGACCCGCACCTTACTGAGTATACTCTCTTTTTATGTGCATAAAAGAATTCCAGGCTTCTTAATAACAGTAAATAGAGCAACGCTTACACTTCGTAAGGGGTACATAGAGCAAAAGTCAGAGAAAGGTCAGCATTTTCTGTAAACATCTCGAGCAGTGTGCTGCGCTAGAAGCCTTTCACACCGGGCATGATAAATATTCAGTTATAGTTTGTGTTTTAAAGACCATGACTTCTTGTTTTTATTTCATTTTTCATTTGAAACTCATGTATTTCTGCTTCTTGTTTTTTTTATGTTTGTTTTTCATCCCCCTCCCACCTTCCAGTTTACAAGACATGGTGACTAAGTATCAGAAACGAAAGAACAAGATGTGAGAAGTTAAAGTTTGAACTTAACATTAACATGTTTTTGGTTCTTCATTGCCCCCAAAGGAAGATGATGCAGTGTTTATTCAAGAACTTTAACACAGAATGAGCAATATTCTGGATTGTAAATGTCGATTTGGCTCCAGAAAAGTCTGGAAGCATCATGTTGATACTGCATCACACTTCCGGGCATGACAACTAACATCACAAACATGCTTTTTTTATGCATGATACCTCATCCATAATGTATGCGCACTACAAACTGCATGCTTTTTCCAAGTCAAGCATGGCTACCTACCCCAGACGTGATTCGCCTACCCTGAAATGAAACTCTGCATTATAATATTGAACTTCAGTATACCTCATGTTTCACCAGTGGGTCTGGCATCCTGTAACAGGTAAGAACCAGTTTGAGCACAGGCCAGGTGTAGTTACATGTCCACAGAGTCTAAACCTCGGTCTGTCCTCTGACTCCAGAGCCAGAAGGGGCCTATGCAAACTTGTTGGAGGCTGCAGGGCCTTGTACAAACATCTGCGAGGGGGTTGATCTGCCCTCCTCTCTTTTCGGCCTTCCTTTACCTCTCTTACGCTTTCTCACTCCTTTAAATAATTCACACTTCTGTTCTTGGGACTTAGCAGCCTCTTAAGGCAGGAAAGGAAGGCGTGTTCCTCATCAATCTTTCAACCATAAGGACTAAATAATGAATAACCCTCAAATGTCCTACAAAAAGCCCCCCAACTCATCTGGCAACGGCCTACAACGAAGTACCAGCCTTTGGCGTCGAGCCATTTCATTCCCTCGTCAATAGTCCTTGGTCTGCACTGTACACTGTGCTTGGAGCGTTTTCCAGTTTTAAAAACCCTTAAGCTCTAAGCACCACTTATTACATCATGTGAGAAAGTATTAAAAGCTAATGGACAGTGTGCGCATTGCTGATCAGGCTTTAGATGGTTACTGTGTGCCGTTGCAGAAATGTTTTGTTTGAGTTGATGCAGGGATGTTGACCCTTCATTTAATTGGGCAGTTCATGTTATATTTACTGTATATTAGACGGACTGTAAGAGATTTGGTAGCTGAATACGAGAGAACATTAGTGGAGAACCAATTATTCTGATTTTCCAAGAGCATATGAGAGAATAGACAGGGCATAACGAATGACAAATGAGGAGAAGGGAGATTTTGAAATGAGCTTTAATTCTGAGCGTTCTTCCATGGCCCCATTCATAAGCGTTACTTGTGTGCTTTATTCTGTGAAGTAATTTTAAAACTTTATTTGTAGGAAGATAGAATGGTTTCAAATATTTCTGAAGGTTTTCTGGTTCATTGGTGTCAGTGAGTATGTTTACATGGACACCAATAATCCAATTTTAATACCATTAAGACAATACTCTGATTAAGAGTCTACCATGTAAACAGGGATTTTTGATTAATTTAATCAGACTAAAGTCCAGCCTGATCACTTTACATTTTGGCAGTTTAGTGGCTAATTCGCACAAATTCGTACGAGTTTAGTCGTAAGAAATTGTACGATTTTAAAAAGGAGGCATGGCACCTAACCCCACCCTAAACCCAACCGTCATTGGGGGATGAGCAAATCGTACTAAAATGTACAAATAAGATCGTACAAATTAGCCACTAAATGAAAAAGTTACGAATTGCCGTGATATTGTGTTGGCAGTACAGACATGTAAACACCGCAATCAAACTATTACTGTCGTGTAGGATTTTCACCACATTTTGCGACAGGATAGTCTATACACACAACTGATTGACAGATTATTCTTTGCACTTACTAATTCAGTAAAAGATCCAATACCTTGTTTGTCACAAGGGGCATGTGGGAAATGTTCCTGAATGAAAGTGAAAGTGCCAAACTGCAGCTAAAATTATCAAATAAAAAATAAAACACCTGAAATTACATGAAACTCCAGAGGAAATGTGGATAGCATGGTGACACAATGTTGTTACTTGAATTGTGTGCTATAATATGTAAAACGGGATCATGAAAAGAATATTCAAAAAGCAACTCATGTAAACAAAATATTGTCATAATCATATTATTTTCTAATTTAGATTAATGCAAATATTTTGATTACTGATGTCCATGTAAAAAATAGTCAGTGTCACTCAAAATAAATGGAGCATAAAGCATTTTAAGTTTGTACATAGATGATGCATCTCTTTCTTATCTGTATTAAAAGAGGATTTTAGCATATGTTTATACTATTATAGTTTTGATTAAAATATTTAGTTTTTATTTCTAGTTTTTGTTTTAATTTTTGTTAGTTCAAAATTAGTTTTGCATTGAATTTTTTACAGTTTTACATTTTTTTTAAATATCTATTTAAAGTAATTTTTAGATTGTTATTTTTGCATTTTTATTTGTTTTAAATTGTTAAGTCTTTTAATCTAATATTCATTTTTTTATTTCAGATATATTTTAATGAACAAAATTAACATTAATTCAGGGTACCCACAGGGTCTTAAAAAGTCTCAAACTGTCTTAAATTTCAAAACCTAAATTTTAGGCCTTAAAAAGTCTTAAATTCACTGGCATATTGTGTTGTAGGTCTTAAATTGTTTTAAACAGGTCTGTAAAGGTACTCAATTTGTGCCGACATCTATCCAGTGACTAACAAAACATCTTCATAAAACCTTATTTTTTATATGTATGTTTTTTTATTGCATAGAGATATAATTCACAACAACTGTTAGACATTTATACAGCAACTTCCTCAATTAAAAAAAATGTTTAAAAAAGTCCTAAAAATAATTACATGATTATTCATTAGAAAAAAACTCAACCCTGTAGAAGTCTAATATATTATTCTAGATGGTCTTAAAAAGTCTTAAACTTAACTTTATGAAACCTGCAGAAACTGTAATTATAGTTTTAATTAACAATAAGCTTGGTGTAGATGCAATTCAGATATTTGTGCAAGGGCAAATGTTGTTAGCATTAACCACAGCAAACAGAAATTTAAATTGTATCTGTCTAAAAAATATCAATTTTAAATTGTATAATTAAAAAGGTTGCTGGTTTGAGGCCCGGCTGGTTCAGTTGGCATTTCTGTGTGAAGTTTTAATGTTCTCCCTATGTTGGCTTGGGTTTCCCCCCATAGGCCAAAGATATGTGCTGTAGGAAAATTGAATAAACTAAATTGGCTGTAGTTTATGTGTGTGAATGAGTGTGCATTGGTGTTTCCAAGTACTGTGTTGCAGCTGGAAGGGTATTTGCTGTGTAAAACATGCTGGATAGGTTGGGGGTTCATTCCACTGTGGCAACCCCTGATTAATAAAGAGACTAAGCCAAAGGAAAATGAATGAATGAATTAAATTGTTTCATTAAGCAATTAATTAAGCATATTGTTTATTTTCTGTTACTGTGTTAAACAGAACACAGAATCATAATAAATTGATAACAATTGGAGTTGTCCATGCTGTCTGATTATCAAACAAATCTATTATGGCTTCACAAGATTGTCATTTAATATCTTAACGGTCCAGATTCATTTTATTTAACTAGATTATATAATGGAATGTGGCATATTTAAAATTTAATTGTTTTACCTAAAAAAGTATAAAACTGAAACAATATGAGGGTAAATAATAACAACTGTAATTCTTCTACAGTCTTGAATTAGTAAAGAAATAATCCGTGACAAAGCCAAGAAACTGTTGCACTATATAAAAGTCCAATTTTAGTGCATTTAAGGGTCAGAGCTAAAGAGTGAGTGGGATATAGTATAGAGACAGAGACTAGGGAGGAAAATAGAGGGTTGAGAGAGTTCTGTAGGTGCTAATGATAAATGTAATAGCCTGTAACAGAGATGTACAACCAATGGAGGCATGTTGTCACAGACAATTAATGTCTCTCCTCTCTCACTGTGTTGTTTGTTTGTTCCCCTGGGCTTAGGTGCAGCTTAACTAATGGTATATGGTCAAGGACATAAATTGTGTGTGACATTTTGCATTAGCGCTTCATTACAAAGACCCTGCTGTCCTACTGTTTAGCGATGGGCCGGCTAGCAGAGCTCAGGGCTTATTCACACAACGTTCTCACCTCGGTTTACCTCCAGGGCACTGGGGCTTACACAAGAGCCAAAAGGGCTCTTGAAGGAATACAAACCCTGGCACTCTTAAGTTGCCAGACCGTATCGTCAAAGCAAAACTCATTTGACAACAAATTCTTTTATCCTGAGTGTATTTGCTTGAGTGTATCAGATCTTCTAATTCAGACCCTCTCCAGCACCCTGACTGCGAGCATACAGTTAGTGTTTAGTGACATCTGCGCTATCTCATGGCTCCATGCATATATAATATTCTCATATGCATAATACCAGAAATGGAGAGCTAAGCAGACCGGAACCCTAATGTCAGAGAAAAGCAGCTGCTGCTTTAGAGTTAACCTTCTCTCTATGCCTGGGATAATGAGCTGATGTATGTTGTATAATTTCATTGAGATATATTTGACTTTTACGGTACCAGAGGACAATAACAATGATTATTAAAATTTAAATTGAAACAAAATTGTGAAAAAAAAAAGCCCCAGTTCAAAATCTACCATTACCAAATCTTCTCTAAATGTCTTCTGCTTGTGCATATATGAAGTCGTTTTAGCTCTCTAGGTCCTTGAAGGGCGATTCATAGTTATTCAGAGCGGTGTGCTGTGCGATAAGTGAAGGATAAGACTAATCTAAAGAGGCAGGGAAGCATTGACTTGCAAATCCAGCCAAACATAAATCCAATGGTTTTATCTGGTATAGAGAAATGAGCAAACAGGACTGGGATTCACAGTGCTGCTTTCCGTGTGAGGTGCTAATGCATCTGCTCTCAGGGACATTCGGCCTGTGTTTACTCGTTCTTATTGACAGTGCAACATTTCCCCACCAAACCCATTTGTATCTAGAGATGCATGGTATTGCTAGCGTGGTGAGTCAAGTTAATTACAGTCCCAAAATGGCCCATTCCTTCATGCCATCCTTTAATATGGTAGTCCAAGGATAAATTAGTCTCAAGGCCTTTACCTAAGGAAGATCTTTCACAAGCTTTTTAGTTACTATATAATTCCTAATTCTGTTTTTATTTAGCTATTCATTACAGCATTTTATAATAAATGACAAACAAAAGAGTTTAGCTCTGTTTGGAAGCTATTTAGCCACTTACTGCTTGCATAGGTGGCTGTTGTCGGATAACCAATTAAAAATTTCATAAATGACTAATTTGGTTGGCAAAGTTAACCAATACTCTTGTCTCACTGTTCATTTCAACAGAGTTTGCAGTTATCATGTTACTCAAGCATAAAATACATCTTGTATTTTAATTTGTAATAATGTTTAATTGTGCTCAATTCTCATAAATACATTTCAGAAGTGTTTGCAGTGCATTCTGGGAATGGTTTCTACAGTAAAATACCGCCTTGAGAGCTGGCCAAAAGTTTAGTCAAAATTGACTGAAAGTTAATTCTACTCATTTGAAAAGAGTTTTGAACTCAGTGTTGAAGGTAATGAGTTAATTAAATACCTCATTACTATACATAAATGGAGTAAGTTCACAGTACTCGTATAGCTTAGTTTTTACTCAAATGGTCAGTGGCAATCGGTTTCCTCAAAGTTTGAGTTGCCTTAACCTATTAGTTTTTACAGTACTCAGTTGGTTTGAGTTCTCTTCATTTATTGGGTTTTACTGGACTTAAATTGCATCATTTACTCAAATGGATTAAGTTCACAGTACTCATTAGGTTTAGTTTTTGATCTTAAATGGTTTGTTGCAATTGGTTTTCTTAAATGGTTTGAGTTACCTTAACTTTTTGGGTTTTACAGTGTAGCTTTTTAAGCAGCGTTTCTAAGTACCTTTAGATCACAAATGTGTCAGTGATCCTGTGAAATTCTACTTCCATGGGCAGCCGGCTAGGTATTGGAACAGGGCTATTGTCTGCTAAGCTACAGTCTGAATGGTTTTTCTTTTTTCAGTGCTCTCCTTTATTCTGGTTTGGCTTGGAGTTGTACTGACCTCACCCTTTTGGATGCCTGACACATTATACAGAGCCAGCTAGCTGCAGGATACTGTTGTTGGACTATGAGTCTGACTTACTAACACAGAGCCTTTTTTCAGGTTTCTAGAGATTGGGCGCATGCATTTGTGCTGTTGTTTCTCCACCAATAATCCCTGCGTTCCTCCTACTAACAGTCTGTTAGGATTGATCTCCATTTTGTTGACTTTCTCCTTCTTCCTCCTGTACAGTGAGGGTGCCTCTGATACGGACTCTGAGGTGGAGGACCGTGTTGATGGGGTGAAGTCATGGCTGTCCAAAAACAAGGGCTCTGCCAAGAATCTGTCAGATGATGGTAGTTTGAAGAGCTCAAGGTCAGTACTGCAACCTCATTTTCCCTCAGTTACCTCACAGAATACATTTACGTTCTGACCAAAAAAAAAAAGGATTTTTGGAAAAGATAATTAGCTAGAGCTAAGGGAATGGTACCGTCTAGCATATTCTTCCCATTGTCAGCAGTTTGATAACAGCAGTTTCTATAAAAGGGTACAGCTTCACAGGCAGATTAATGGATATGCCCATTGGCCAGTTGGCATGCCTACTTTTGCCTTTCTACTGAAGATGAATTGGTGTTCCCATTGGTGGATACTTTCGATTTCTTTTTTTCTATTTATTCTGTATACCAGCAGAGTTATGTTTTGGCTTTTGGGCTTCTTTCACATTTTTTTAATCTTTAGAAATGTTTGAGTCATAATTTTAATAATTTGAATAATGTCTCTAATTTGGATAATAAGTCTTGGAATTGCAACGTAATGTGCATTTATAAAGCGCATTTCATACCACATAGGGGTTATAGTTTGTGGCAGTTTTTTTTTTGTGATAAAGGCCCTTTTCATTTAATGTAGATACCCGAACCAATAGTATAAACTGTTTTTTTTTAATTAGAGAGGTTTTAGAGAAGTGCCTTTCATTTCTTGCTGTCACATGAAACTTTATTTTTGTTCTCTGTCTGCTTGCATAAACCTGTTGTTTCTCTTCTTGTGTGTCAGTCATCTTTTAGTTTTTTTAGTCATGTATTCTTATTCTTATTCTCATATTTTCATCTTTATCCTTTCCTCCCTCCATCTGTTTGTCTTTCTATGATGTGCATACCCCCTCTGCCCTTCCTTTATCTAGATATGCCGTAAATGTTGACGGAAAGGAAGGGAAAGAGTGGGAAGAGGGTAAAGAATGGAAAGAAAGTGGAAAAGGTAAAGAGTTAGAACCCAGCAGGCCTGTGTCTGTCATGAGTTCCCTCAGCTACAGGAAACGATCCAACATGAAGGACTCTATAGGAGGTAAGGGAGACGAGAGCTCCCTACTCAACACTCTCAAAGAACAGTCAGATTCCCAGGACCTTTCATCCTTCCGCAAGAACAAAGGCAAGCAAGAAGCTGAGGATGACTCCTACTCGGTCAGCTCCTGGAGAAAGGCAGGAGATGATCTTGACGATCGAGGTTCTGTCATCTCTCAGGTATACTCAGAAGCAGCTAGTCGGGCAAGAAAGGGCATGGAGAGTCGCTGGTCTGACTTTGATAAAGAGTCTGTTGTGTCCTCTATAGCCCCAAGCCGGGTTTCTAACTACCGCACTGCGATGGACTTAGATGATGATGCTATTTCTAGTGTTAGTCGCATGAGTTCTGTTAGCCGTCGTCGAAGCATGCCTCGTCTTGAAGACCACCAGAGTGAATATGGTTCAGCCGTCAGCCCCAGTCTGAGCTGCCGCAGTCCTGGAAGCGTGAGTCGTGCTGACTCCCGCATGTCCCTCTCTCGCAGCTGTCGACTCAGTGAATTTGATATTGAAGATGACTCTCGAAGCGTAGCCTTCACCGAGGGTCGCTCTAGTGCTTACAGTCCTCACTCCACTTCTGGCCGAAGCTTCTCAATGCCTCCACAAGCCCGGACCACTGATTCTAGCCCACCTGATGTCTCAGATGTCAAGCCGGTTAGCCATCGCAACTACCTAGACCCTGACCTAGAGGCTGCCATCAATGAAGTCTTGAACTTCAAACCCATCAAATTTAAGCGCACCAGCTTAGAAGACTCTGAAGCAGAGAAAGAGAAACCAGGTGCAAGGGAGGATGACCAGAAGAGCACCAGCAGCTCCAGGACCGGCAGAGACAGTGGCCGCTCCTCCAGCCTGCGCCGCTCTGCTTCAGCAGTAGACTTTATGCGTTCCAGTAGCAGCCTCAGCACACGCAGCAGCCGCAGCAAGAAGAACAAGAGCAAAAAGAAGAAGAGGAGAAGCCACAGCTCTGAATCAGAAAGCTCCGATGATGACCGCAAGAAGAAGAGCTCCAAGAAGAAGGGCAAGAAATCCAAAAAGAAATCTAAGAAAGAATCTTCATCTTCCTCCTCGTCCTCAGAGTCTGAGTCTAGCACCGATTCAGACTCAAGTTCTGGAGCGTCCACCATTTCCTACAGAAGCTCCAGCAGTATTAAGAAAGCCCCTGGCAGGCAAGCCTCAGGCTCGGAGGGTGAGCTGGAGCCCGAAGGTCCCTCTGAAGGATCTCCGCCACTGTGTAAAAAAGACGAGAAGAGGAGGAAGAAGAAAGTAGACAATCTTATGATGAAATACCTGTACAGGCCTGACAGTGAATAAAGATGGCAGTAGGTGACACCTGGTGTGGAGTGAAGGAATGTTACAAGCATGGTGTTAAACTAATCCTCAGATACTCAAGAGCCTCAGTAGTACCATTTGATATCTTGTATTGCATTTTGCCATAACTTTGCTCTCTGCTTTCACATTTTCTTTACACTGTGTTCTTTCACTTTGTTACTCATACATGCCATTTTTGTAGTTTTAGATCAGTGATTCTCATTTAGGTTGATTTTAAAGCACTTTCACAGTTGTCCACCACAATACTAGAAAGACCACATAGCTAATGTATTCATCTTGTAGTTTTGTAGAATTGTTATCATTTAATTATTTTATTTTGAATATGTTAAAACGATAAGAATTCTTGGCCCCATATTCTAATTCAGCTTGATTAGGAATGACTCTTCTAAATCATTCACTGAAAAGATTTTAGGATCTTGTACCTCAAAACAGTAGTGAAAGTCATTTTGAAATTCTTGCTCTAGTCACAGACATAATTAAACAGAAAATCGATTAGGACTGCGTGCCAGCAATTAACCTGAAGTTTGTATTATTGTGACAAAGAAAAGATAAGACTCAGTGACACGAAAAGTTATCGTTGACTTTTTGGAGAGGGTGAGTTATTCATGCATTCTCTACATCTGACTCCTCGCCTTGTTTAATTAAAGGACACAGTTCATTTATATGTTAATTTACTGATAAGATTATGAGCGGACATCAAGAAATTTGCAGGTTGTTTTAAAATGGACCATAGGTTTTCATGGCAGTAGGTTTTTAATAGACAAACTTTTACTTGTATTGTAACTCTATATTGCCTTGACTCTGCATGGCAAGCAGCATCTTGACTGCCCTAAGTTAGAACTAGGGTAGATAATATAATAGTACTACTACTGTATGTTATCAGCTGATATTAGGTAAAAGGTTTTGTCTGTCAAAATTTGATCTCTATGTTTTAGTTTTTTTGCTCTGTACAATTTATTATAACTAATTATTGTACTAACAATAATTTGATTAGGTGATGTTTAGAGCACTACACAAAGTGTGATTTGCATGTGACTTGATCATACTGCACTTCTAATATGTGGTGAAAGATGATATTGACTTATGAAAGGGTCAGACTACACAGTAGGTTTAAAATAGTTATTGTAGTCACCGTTTTACAATATAATGTGATTTTTTAAAATTTTTTTATTTGGTACACTGTTCACTGCAATAGTTAAACTATAACTTGCTGCAACACACCTGTCTGGAAGTATGATAGTATTCTTAGTAGAGGAGCATTAATATGGAAATTTTAGCAGATACAGATAAAAGTAACTAGTTGCATTACTTTTTTACTGTGTACAGTAAGAAATGCGTTATGTTACTTTTGAGTTACTTTTGTGCTACTTTTTATCGCCTGGCTGAGGCTTGATCTCTTCTTCTGTAATTAACAGTGCACTGTATAACCTAAACCTTAATTTACCTTTAAAACACATAAAAAAAATAATAGTTTAAGATGATGTTTTCTGAGAACTTCCTGACCCTAGAGCTATACATGCCGTACTGTATATACAGATTATTAAAAGTTTAAATCAATGTGTTTGGTACTTTTGTACTATTTGTCTTAAGTAAAATCTCTGTCCATTGAGACAATCTCCTTTTCTTTTTCTTCTATTTGTTCTATCATTGACTACGAGATTCATTGTGACTTTCATTTAAAATCTGCAATTTATTTTTTTTAAAGCTAAACAATTAAACTAAAAAACAACCTGTTACATTTTCAAAAAAGTAACTCAAATATTATTACTTGGTTTTTTTAAAGTAATGCGTTACTTTACTCATTAATTAAAAAAGTAACATTATTACGTAACTCACGCTAGTTGTAATGCTTTACCCCCAACACTGCCGATTTCTCTCTATATATTTACATGCTGATAACTGGTATCTACTGTATAGGCAGATAAATATAGACAAATGCCAATATTACAGCTGATACACAGTGCATCCTTTGGGGTAATTCACACAGAACACTTCTTTGTGTCTAAAAACATGTAAGACAGTGCTCAGAAATGTTTATTTTTAAAAGCACAGGGCACCCTGGTATCCTGTTAACAGATGACTGTCTAGCCTCCCAAGTTCTTCCGATTAATCCACTGGTTTGGAACTGACACTGAGCAGTGCTTTGAGTTAAATCTGAAGTCGTTTTAGCTTGACAGGACATGCTCTTCTGACATGAAGACAAAAAGCATGAAGACAAAAGCGCAACATTGGCATGGAAAAAAAAACAGCTCGATCTCATGAGGAAACATAACTGTTTTACTTAATGTCTGAAAATTGTTTTAAATTGTATGTATTCCTGGAACTTAATTTGTATGAAAACATACAATATTTTTTAAAAGCTGTACCGACAAATCCCATCCCCAACCACCCTTATTGTGGATGAGCAAATCATACAAAAATGTGTGAATAAAATTATACAAATTAACACCAATTATCCACTAAATTAAAAAGCTATGAATTGCCATGAGATAGCTTTGGGTAAAACGCGCTCTTTGTGTATGACATCTTAATGACTTAATTAGCTGGTGCAGGTGTGTTTAGGATATGATACGATACGATACAATACAATAAAATATGTATATTTTTGATAGGAGGATTGGACGTCATTTATTAGTGCCTTGAGGAAATGCAGGACTATCATATGATTGAAAACCTTACGACAATACATTCTTGAGTCCCAGTGCCCATTGCTGTTTAAAAATCACCACAACATCTTACACCAATAGAATCGCGACAAAATCTGGCTGATACTGTGTAGTCTGAACCTAGGATTTTAGAGATCTCCTCTTAAATATTGTCCCCACGTACTGAAGTTTGATAACCCAACATTCCTTCCCAAGATTATTATCCACTTTGGTCCATCTTCTCCACATGCTGATCCTAATCAAAGCTATGTCTATCTCCCCCCTCCAGCCCACCCTCCAGCCGCAGACGCTTTTGCCTTGACAGATCTGACGAGGAAGAGGAAGAAGAAAAAGAGGAAGGGAGCACGAGCCGAAGCACCTACCGCTCACGCTACAAACGCAGCAGCTACCTAAACGACAGCGATGGCGAGACCACCGCATAGCGCACACTCACATGCACTCACGTTCACAGGAAGGAAGACTTTTGAGTATAATATCAACGTCTTCCACAATCCGGGATCCAGCGAGGGAGGGGGTGGAGAATGGTTTTTAATATTATGATTTCACATGTGCTTTAAAGGGTTTGTACAGCATCATGATTCACAGCACTGTTGATTCCTCTTTCCTGTTTGTGTGCTTTTACTTCTGACATTCTTCCTCTTTGTTTCTAAATAAGCAGTGACTTTAGCAAACGTTGTGCTTGCATTCTTACTCCAGTCAGGATTCAGTTAAAGGATATCGCTTGAGGCAAAATGCTACAGCCTCTTGCATGGTCAGGGCTGAGCCAAAGATGCATAGCATTATGTAAAAAAAAAAAAAGTCTGAGTTTTTTCAATTGTGTTCGTATTGAAAGGAAAATATTGTATTACCAAAAAAAAAAAAGGAGAGGGTTTGTTTTGGGTACGTGAGGACATTAGTTTTTCGAGGTGGAAGTGATTTAAGACCACTTCCTTAACTACACGCATGTATTTTTTTCACTTGCTTGTATCTTTCTCTCCGCCTGTTGGCTCGAAGGTGAAGGATTCATTTTGCTTGAGTAAGCGAGAGAGATATAGAGAGAGCGCGATGCCTCTTGATGAAAATAGAGCCCATTTCTACTCTTGGCCTTCCATTTATTTTGATGTTTTATGTAAAGAGGAACAAAGGTGGTCAGGTCAATAATACAAGAAGAGGGCAGCATTTTGGGGGTCTTCAGATTTGGAATCTTAATGCTTTTTTTCTCCCAAAAATATGCTTTGTAAAGCATTCTGCTTTGACTGAAGATCTTGCTCGTATGCTCAGTGGTTTATTCCTACACTTTCTTATTGTGGTTGTTGTTGTTCTCAGGCTTTTTGTTTTGGTTATCACAGATGTCTGGCTTTCCCTAGGGATGGCCCACGATCTTGGGTGTATGGGGCATTTAATTTATCATCCAACTTCACTGATACTGGATAAACCGCGGTTGCTTTTTGTGCTGATGTAGTGCAACCAGGATGGAGACGTTTGACAGAACCGATACTGTGAAATCCCAGCTTCCCTTCGGCATGTCGTCGCATTGGATTCATCAGTATTTTTGGCCTTACCTAAAGACTTTGTGACCCTTATGGACACACACCTCTCTTTTGCCTTCTATCGTTTTGTTGTTGTTGTTGTTGTTGTTGTTGTTCTGCTTTCATTGTAGTATTTATGATCTAGCATTGATGGATTAAGCGAAGCTGCCAAAATATAAAAGCAACAGCGTAATAGCAATGAAAGGATCTCATTGCTTCTCCTTGATTTTTAAAGGGAGACCACATTGTGTATTTTACATGGTTTTATAGACCCTCTGTAAAGGTCAACCACTTTATCCTCTTTTCTATGCAGTCATTATTGATTTTAATACAAGAAATAAGCGTTTTATGATGTTTCTGGCGATTTCAAACACATGGCTACAAGATACATAACATTTGCTGGCTGTACACATTAATATAAAATATATAAATATCTGTATGATTCATTCTAGCTTCCAAAATAGCTAATGTTTATTTTCTTTATTGAATAAATGATCACTTGATATAAGTAATAATTTTGCATTACAGTTTAATATATTGTAAATAAATGATGGTGATTGTTTTTGATCTGTTTCGATATGCGTATTTCATAATGCATCTCTTTTTGTTAAGATAACAGGCAGATTTAATTTCAGCATGATCAGCATACTCAAATTTTAAAGCCGTAGTGCGTAATTGCTATATAAGTATGCTTTATGACAAGAGGTTTCCTAAAAATGAATTTAATCTAATATATTACAATTTTTCAAATGGGTTTAACTAATCTGTCTAAAATCTAACAATGTTGAAAGCACAAAGCATAATATTTACAAAAACCGGCTTTAAAATGTTGTCCTTTATCCAGAGCGTTATATTTTAATTTATCACATCAGTTGAAAGAAAAAGCCTGCAATATTCATCATCTCCTAAAAGCAACAGATTCAGAGTGAGCTTATATATATATATATATATATATATATATTATTCGAAACATCTGAATGAAGCCTCAAATTTTAGCATTAAAATACAAAATGTTTAGCCAAATTAGAACAGCTCTGCCTATGGTTCACATTCACTGGGCTTTTCTTTTCTATTGGCTGTTTGCTTCGTTGCACAATGGGAAGGCTTGCAGTAATCTGTATGAGCTAACAATAGGAAAGGCAGCTTACTGGGCACAGCGCAGCTTGAGCTTTCCATTGGCTCCATCAGTGCAGAGATGTAGGAGAGATGAGCATGAGCCAGCAGCAGTCCTCTACAAAACAAACCATTTTATCTTCGAGAGATAGTTAAAAAAGGGAAAATAAACAGGCTCAAACTCTGACGTGAGCGGATGTTATTTGTTTACGATGGAGAGGAAGGGATGCATGAGTTTTTATTCATCAAAATGATACATTTTAATATGAAAATACGTACATGAGGTTAAATAGTGGAGGTTCGCATGTGAGTTTGCACCTGTGCTGTGTTTCAGGTTAAAGTACCCCACAGATCGTTTACTACAGCGTGTCCAGTTTGCCACTTTTTAGTTGTCAGCAAAAACAAGCTGTTTTCTTGATTATTCCTTCAAATGCAAGTGAGCTGCTGCTCTCTGCTCACTTTTAATAGAAACCCCAAAAATTGACATTATTCTGTAATGCCTAAGGCTTTTTTCTCAATTGTTTCATGATTTCCAATAAATTTCACAAAACAATGGTTACCCTTTACTTGAAGGGGTGTTTATAAGATAATATGTAATTAAACTTGACTTAATAATTTGAATGTGAATGAGATTATATGCTTGCTTATAACAACAGTCATTAAGTGTCATTTGTTCAGGTATGACATTGTAAATGCAAAGACATTGTTTGTTGTAACAACTTATCACAACCTGTTTTTGTTTTTAAAACTTGAAGTTATCACGAAAACAAAGTGTTTTGACCTCAACTACAGTGGTACAAGCTGAATTTGTCAATAAAATGTTATTATTAAATATTAATGACACTATTAACAATTATTTGAGAGAGTAATGACACTTTTAATGAGACATTTTGACAAATCAAGTTTGTTTCACTGAAAACGTGATCAGAAAAATATTCATGACAAATAATGCTTAATGATAATCATGTTTATGACAGATTTATGACAAGTTACACTACCTGACAAAAGTCTTGTCGCCTTGATTTGTAATTATTTAATTAATACAGTAAGGTCTAATTTACCTTAAGCAAAAGTCTCGTCACTTAACAGAAATAATGTACAGTAAAGAATATAAAGTCATGGTGCAGTGGAAAAAGAATGAATATTGTGTATGACTCCCATGAGCTTGGAGGACTGCATCCATACATCTCTGCAATCACTCAAATAATTTATTAATAAAGTCATCTGGAATGACAAAGGAAGGGTTCTTGCACGACTCCCAGAGTTCATCTTTAGATTCATCTTCAATGTCTCCTCTTTCATCTTATCCCAAACATGCTCAATAATGTTCATGTCTGGAGACTGGGAGCACCTTGACCTACTTTGCTTTCAGGAGCTTTGATGTGGAGGCTGAAGTATGAGAAGGATTGCTATCCTGCTGAAGAATTAGCCCTTTGTGGTTTGTAATGTAATGTAATGGGCAGCACAAATGTCTTGATATCTCAGGATGTTGATGTTGCCATCCACTCTGCAAATCAAAAACCATGATTTTTTTCTTCACCAAACTTGACTGATTTTTGTGAGAATCTTGAGTCCATGTAGCTTCCAATAGGTCTTCTGCAGTATCTGTGATGATAATGATGTAGTTCAACAGATGATTCATCAGAAAAATCTACCTACTACCACTTTTCCAAATGATCAACTAGAAGTCAACTAGAATGATCAACAAGTTATTATTTATTGCTCTCACAACTTTTATCGACGACAAGACTTTTGTCAGGTAATGTTATCTCGGTAATGTCAAATTGTCATGACAAAGATGAAGACAATGTCATCTTTGCATTTAAAATGTCATAACTAAGCAAATGACACTTAATAACAGTTGTCATAAGCATGAATAAAATCTGGTTCACCTGCATGACGTGTCATTTCATGATTATAAAGGTTTTATGACAGTCTTATGAACATCCCTTCAAGTAAAGTGCTTCTAAAACTATTGTGTTTGCAACATCAAGCAGGTTGACAAATCAATGAAAGTGAAAGGATGGCCAATCTGGTTCCAATGGCTGCATCTGATTCTGAACTGGTCAGTAAGTCTCTGCAGGAAAGTAATGGGAGTGAGCATTTCTGTAGGCAATGCTAAAACAGAGGAAGTATTTTATTTTTTTTTTTTACCTAATTGCCTTACATCATAGTGACAATTAGGTTTGGACCCAATGGTGATCATTTTCATTGCACGATTTAGAAACGCCAACAAGTTAAAAAATGTTTTTTTAATTGCCCACGTTTACTGTGCTTAGACCTCTCCAAGACCAGACAAGTTAGGAATGGTCTCAAAAGTACAAAACAATTCCATGACTTTACCAAGATATAAAATTAAAATGTTGCTTTTAAAAAAAAAAAAGTTTTATGATGTTTGATGACAATCATTATAATGATAATGATGTTAATGATAATGATGATGATAATTTTGTCCATTTATTTTGAAAGAATGATGATTATATCCATGTTAGAGTAACAAAAAATGAACTGAAATCCGTCAAAGTCATAGTTTTGCACTTTTTAGACACTCCTTAATTTTCTCACGTTGGATCAGGAGTCACAATTTCTTTGTGCATGAAGTAATTATGATATTTAACAATATTATAATTACTTTTAGATATGTGCTATACTGTGGGTCTGTGAATGTTCAGGAGCCATAGGTATTCCTTTTATTTGGCCTGTACAGTACATGTTTTTGTCACTCTTAATGTGCCGGTGATGTTGCTGTTCACTCACAGTTTATGACCTGCCAAGGGCCACGGGCAAATTTACTAATAGGAATAAAAACAAAAAAGTCAGCTATATCTTGGATGACCTGAGAATCAATAAACAGCTAATTAACATTTTGGGTTGAACTGTCCCTTTAAGATACATTTAAACAAATCCTGTCCTCTAATCCCTCCATTGTCTATCCCTCATAGCCACTGTCCCTCATTGACCACTCTAACCAAAAGCTAAGCTTACAACAATTACGATCCATTTTTCAACTACCCATTCAATGAATAATTACTATCCTGTACATGCACTTTTCTTTGCTTATAGATTATACGTGGATGTGCTTGAGCAGGAACACTCACAGTTCCGATGGCGTGCTGTTTTTTCAAGGGTCTGGGACGCTTATAAATGCAGGTTGTAGGTTTGAGTTTTTTATAATGGACTGTCATTATAACCGCAGTACAAATCAGTACTATAATGTGGCCTTGCATAATGTATAGTGCTCTTTTTAAATAATATGTCAGTGTGAATTCAAAGGCTCTGTGGCCTTTTCACATGAAGCGACCTTGCGTTCTGTTACACAAACACAGGCCGTGCAGATAAATTGAATTTATAGATGAGGCGCTTTACATCAAAACAGCGGGTGAAAGACACATACTTCAAAACTTTTCTTGTTGTAACCGTATATGCAACTTTTACTACACATACATTCTGATAAAAGGTTAGGGATCAATAATAAAATGAATTCCACAATGTTTACTCGCACTCAAGTGGTTGTAAACTTGAATTTCATTTTTCTGTTGAACACAAAATAAGATATTTTGAAGTATGCTGGAAAAAAAAGCTGCCATTGACATATTAGGAACAAAAATACTATTGTCAATACTAAGTACTAAGTCAAACACTAAGAAATGTCTGTTTTCCCCCTCAAAATGTCTTCTTTTGTGTTTAACAGAAGAAACGAACAGGTTTGGAACAAGTGGAGTATGAGTAAATGGCAGAATTCTCATTTTGGGTTGAACTAACCCTTTAAATGGATCCAAATAACTGTAAAACTTCTGAACTACAATTTAATCAAACTGATTTATATTTCAATATATTTTAAAATGTAATGTATTCTTGTTATGACTGAAATTTGAAGCATTATTACTTCTGACGTTTTACATTTCATTTAATCAATTGGCAACTGCTTTTATCCAAAGCGTAAATAAATAATGAGGACAATAGAATCAAAGCAACAGAAGAACATCAGTATACAAATAATAGGACAGTTCCCACATTGTCCAATACATTAAATATGACATTTTCAATTGAATATTAATCCTGAGATTAATCAGATTCAACAGGACAGCTTTTATTGAACTTTACTTTGATGCATTCTCACAGATTATTATTTTATTAAACAAAAAACTAAATTAAAAAAACAAGTAATCTGCCTGTGACCTAATATGGCACAGTATAAATGATTGTATTGGACAAATGCAGTAAATGGGCTGTAAAAATATTATATGAATATTTATAGGAATATCATATAAATAGGAAATTATTGTGTTAGAAATCCAGATGGAGTTTTAAAAAAAGAACTTTTATAAGAAAGCAAATGTAATAATAAACAAGAATGTGTAAAAAGGTTACAGTATACAGTACAGTACAATATATAGAGTACAAGGTAGATAACATTTAACACGGTGTTATTATTAATATTACATTCGTTGCTA